AAATTTACATGGTAATCTAATATTTCTTGCAACCGTGTGTTGCTTGTTTGGGTTCCAAACCTGTAGAAACCATTCAAAATAGTTGCAACAAAAAGAGTAACACTGCACCGTTTCTTGTTTGTTGTCATTTTATTGATGTTATGTTTATTTATTACAAGTCATTGACAATGGCTAAGATTAAGATAGTGTATTTTTGTATGTTTTATTCATTGTATAAATAACAATTTTTCAGACAAGAAAAAATCTTGCAACCTTCTCACTCATCTCTTTTGTTTTGTATGTGTCTATTTTGTGAAATATTCTATTACTCCCACTTTTGACAACTTACCTTTTCATTACCCAACTTGCTTATAATAAGCAGGTAACAGTTCTATTTTGTTCTATCATCATCTTTTGTCAGTTGAACATATTTTCAAGTAAATTTGAATTTTTTTTCTTGTGACTTTGCAGTGTTGACTTGTTAACTTACAGTCCTTTTTACAGTAGTAGCATTATAGGTATTAAGTTACAGCATAGCCTGCTCTAGGGCCACAATATAGAGCACTCTGTATAGAATCAACTTGTAGTTATGGTAAACATGATTGGCTTGCTAATAGGAGTAGATAGGTTCCATCATCCAGTTCACACTCCTCCCCAGTCTTTTGAACAGGTGTAGCGGTTTTATCCCTTGTTTCTTTTTTAGAATTGGGTTTCTAAAGTTTATTTAAACTTTATACTTATAACATCTCTATGTAAACCCTGAAATTTTTACACTTTTTTTTTTTTTCCCTCATGTGAACCAATCACCCAGTTCACTCTCCTCTCCAGTCTATTGAAAAGGAATGGAAGTTTTTCTCGTTTCCTGTTTAGGGTTGGGTTTCCAATTCCTTCTAAAATCTTTCCATTCTCTTTCATTCCCAGTGAATTGTTGTTTTTTGGGTTTTTTTTTTTTAACATTGCTCCACAATAAGGTGATTTTTTAAGTATGATTTTACTCTTACAGATAACAATGATACCTACCTAATAAGAATTAATATTTTATTAGTTTGTGGTATCAGTGAAAATAGTAACAGCAGTACATGGAAGTGGGGGAGACTGAAAAGTTCTCAGCCTAACCCGCTTCCCAATATCAATATTCTAATGTTTAGTCATTAAAATAACTAATTTTTCAAAATAGATCTGAGCTCTTCTGTATTATCACTGCAATTTGGACTGAAAATAATGTCAATAACTTATTATTGCTGTTATTACTATTTCTAATAGTATGAATGAATTTTTTTTTAAATAGTATTAAGATTAATGTTGTCAATACCACCATTTATTTATTTATTCAAATGTTTTCCAATAGTTATTTTATCAGAACAGAATAATTGTTATCACAGTTAACAACACTTATATTTGACTTTTATTTTTGGAAAAGATCTAATGATTACGCCATGTGTTTGCAAGTTAATAATTCCATATAATTTGTACTATTCTCCCTTTATTAAATATGAATATTTGTTTCTTATGGTCAGGTTAAATTGTAAATTTTTTTTTTTTTTTTTTTCTAACTTTCTCATAAGTCACAGGGAAGCTGTCAGTACTAAACAGACTCTGTATTTTGAAATGTTAACACCTTGTATACTTCAACTATTCTTTATTCTTGTCACTAGTATTAATTTAATCAGCTTGGAATGAATACAGCATTCATTTTCAAGACCAGTTAAATTGTTGCCTATTAGTCAGTTGACCTATATTAGGAGTGATTTCTTTTTTTTTTTTTTTATAACCACTAAGTTATTATCTGTCTCCCTGCATATATAATGGTCTGTACTGCATGATACTTGTATATACATACTGAAGTCATTTTAGTGTCTTAATAAGATGTAAAATAGTATCTGAAATGAAAGTGGAGATAATGAGACAAAGTGGAAAGGCTTTTTAAGGACAATGCATTTTGCCAACATGTGTTAGGTTTGGTGCCTTCGTGTCAGAATGTAAGACGTAACTGTTTAAGGAAAATGCTTTGGGATTCTTGAGGTTAAGAGGAGCAAAGAAAAAAAAAAACAGATCTACTTGGAATGGGTTAATTTCAAACCCAACAAACACCAACTGCTTTAATTAAAAAAAAAAAAAAAAGAAGACACTTTCTGATCATTGGATCTTATAAGGTAATTTATTGCCCTTCTTAACCTCAAAAATCCCCACACATTTTCTTTTTGTCTTTCATTCTGACCTGAAAATACCAAACCTAACACATGTCAGAATGCATTGTCATTAAAAAGATTTCCATTTTTGCCCAATTATCTCCACTTATATTTTAGTATATATCAAGCTAGTATGCTGTATTAATCACAGTCATAATTGTTAGAATGTAATGTGATAGCCTAGAGATAGAATAACTTAAAAAAAAAATGTCACTGGAACAAAGGTTGAAATCACACTGAGATTAAGGTGAGAAATCAATCTAAAATAATTGCTGCTGACATATAAATCAATAAATATTTTCTGATAAAAATTGTTTGGGTAAATGGATTGTTTAGTAAGGTCAAATGAAGTTTAAAAAATGTAATTGTAGCAATAGGCTAAATAAAAAGTTACAAATAAAACAACAGAAAAAAACTATGACCTCAGTCAGAATCAACATTCAGTCATTAAATGATTTTTACTTGATTTATTATGTCAGAGATAACCAACAAAAATTCTGCTAGGGTTTTAATTTATTTAAATGAAATATTGCACAATGATATGTTTAAGAAACACTATGTAACAATTACTACAAATGACTACAAAAACCTTTTTGAGCTTTCCTTTTTTAACAGTCAAATAATTTTCTAGTGTATAATTTAGATTTCTTGAGTATATATCATACTTCTTGACTTTTCTACAGGCATAAGAATTGGAAATCTTGCTTTGTTGTATAGTTGATTTTAAAAGTGGATTTGGAGATTGTGAATAGACAAAATCTATTTATAGGGAAATTAATGAGGCATAAAACTGTTGATAATTTGTATTTTAATCATGATCCTAACATTTATCATTACAACACTGTCTTGTGTATTATGTAGAAAATTCACTGATAAAAATAACCCTGAAAATATGACATTTTACTTACAAATACTGATGATAGCAAATCTCATACATTAAACTATTGCTGTTTATAATTTTTTCTATGGTCAGTTTAACTGTTCTTTTTGTTAGCAATAAAAGCTTTTTTTTTTTTTTTTTTTTTTTTTAACATGTAAAATCTACAATATTAGGATGCTAGTAATAAAGTAAATGTTAGTAAGCAAGTTGGTCATAACTATATTAGATGTGTATGCAAAGAAAAGTTCTTGATCTGGCCAAAACACATAAAAAAAAAAAGGTTTGGTTATTTGGTCAGTTAGTGATAATGCCACTAAGACAGGGCTACTGGGAGTGAAAAAGGAAAAACTTTTAGAAGAAACCAGAAACCCAATCCTAAACAGGAAACAAGGGATAAAATTCTACACCTCTTCAAAAAATCAGGGAGGAGTGTAAACTGAACAATAGGCGAACCTATCTAGACCTATTAAATTACAGAACCAACAGGGGCCAGCTACACCATTGTGAAAATTTTAAGGCAACTTAAAAAGTATGGAGTAGTATAAGTGGGTGATGTAATCTGTTATTGAATTTTTATTATAATTAATAAAAACATTACAATTATTTAAATATGTAAACATAATTGATTGTTTAATTATTGAATCAATAAAAACATTGAGAACTTCTATAACAATTGTCTTCTCTCAGTCTGTAGGACTGGTATTTGGCTAGTAAATTAAATGTGTTTGAAAAGTTCATTATGGTGATGATTTTAAAATAAAAATTTAATAAATACATGATATCTTCTTGCGGATGAAGGTCCATTTTGGTCTTTCTGTAGAGCCAGTTTTCAGCTAGCAATTAGAATATTAAAATTGTTTTGAATTTTTCTTGTTAAAGAAATTTTTAATTATGCTTAAGTGTTTTTGGAAGTTCACTCAAGATGCTTTTCTTAGTACATTAATTTCTTTTAGTGAGTTGGTCACTTTGCTGCATAATTGCTATGTGAATAGGTCTTCTCGGTTTACTTTCTCAGCTTTTAAGCCTTATGTTGTTGTTTTTCATAGTCTAGTGTATTACAGGAAACCAAATCTACTTAAGTACTTTTCAGGTTTAGTATTTTAGGAAGTACTAAGGTATTAAAAATAAGTAATGTTTATGAACAAATATTTGACTTTATTTTTTTGTGAAAGTAAGAAAAAGCTGATAAAATCCTTTTTAATGTTTTTGCCTATCGACACAGTACCATAAGATACATACACTTTGTTTTTGTTAGGAAAAATGAAAGGAATAATGGTCCTGAATATATATATATATATATATATATATATATATATATATATCTTTGACTTATGGATGCCCTCAATGGCACAAAATCATGTTTCTTCCTAAAATTTGTTGGGGGTGGATGGGTATAAATATGTACAGTAAGTATTAGCTCTACTAAAAGTTTTTAACATTAGAATCCTTCATAGTTTAATTCAGAGTCAGTGAGGTTTTATAGGATTTCAATACATTTACTTTAAATGTCATTTTATTCAAACTGTCTCCTAAAGCTTCTAAAAATGTATCATTGAAACACGATCACCCAAGATAATGTATAAATACAATATTGGAATTGAAAATTTAACATTGCGATGTCTTCATGAAAGTGTCCAGGCTGTATAAGTGCTGAATTTAGATCTATAACCATTTTGATTTTATGTAAATTATATTTTTGCTACATTATACTTCACTCAAATTATTTTGCCCAGTTAACAAATAATGTTTGTAATTTATTTTCTATGTTAACACAAATGCTGAAGTGCATTGTTTTAAGTAACAGCATAAACAAAGAAAAACTACACCTTTCCTATCCAAGCATCCATTTATTCTCATTTCTTACCATTCACAGGTTATATAATTACTCATATCAGTTTGTCAAAAGAAATACCACTGTCAATTTTTTATAGAATGCGTGTTTGTCTTTCTAGATGGCAAAAATGGAGATACTAATGGTGTTGTATCTTCATCTACATCATCATCATTGGGATCTTCACAGAGTTCATCAGGGGTCACATCCACCCAAACAGTATCATCACCTCTTATCCCACCATCACGTCTAACATTTTGTCGCCCTTCTCCTTCTTCTCTCACAGGTGAGACTTTTTTTCTCTTTCTTTTTCTTTGACATTAGTCATGTTGATATGCTATCTATGTTGACCAAAAATGTTAGCTAAACTAGTTGGGATGATACACTTTTTTATTATCTCTACTGCCTTGTGCTTAGTTTTATAAAAAAGTAACACCCCCTCCACCCCAACTTGGTCCCAGTTAACTACATTCCAGAATTCTTGTTCTCATTTTCATTGATTTATTCTTAAAAAATGTCTACCTTAAAATTATGTCAAATTTCCAAGAATTTGACCTGTAAAAAATATACCTGGTTTCTACAGCCTCATTTACTCCCCCTTAGAAATGCCTACAGAAATCTTAAAAAATGAAACTGCAAAAGCTTGCGAATCCTTTATCCGAAATTCCAAAATCCAAAAGTTTTTCAGGAGCTGATGACTTACCACAATTTCAGAAAATTTGGGAAAATTTCAGAAAGCCCAGCTATGTAGTCTGTTGCTGCCAGTTTTTGTTAAATCATCACACCAACACCTTCGTTCGTGGTTTACTTACCAGGTGTTTCATGCTCAGTAAAGATATTATTCAAAATGTTAAAAAGTCCTGCACTTATATATATATATATATATATATATATATATATATATATATATATTTTTTTTTTTTTTTTTTTTTTTTTTTTTTTTACATGTACAGAAAGTACAAAACATTTTTATATGAAATCATAATTTCTCCATTTAGAAATCTGTGTGAGTATTACATGACAAGCCTTATAATCTGTATCTGTATGTACACAAAATTTATTCAATTTTATATACAAATTAAATAGCTTATATTCCAAAAACCTGTAAATCGAAGCACTTCTGTTCCCAAGAATTTCAGATAAAGGATTCTCAACCTGTGGTATATTTGTCACTATTCAAATTGTGTGTACTTTTAGGTACCACCTATTATTTCTGCTCCTTAAATAATCATTTTTCTCCACTTCTTTTTGTTTTGTTTTTTTATTAAAATAAACTTTGTCAAGCCAATAAATGACATACTATTTACATCATTCTGACTGTTGTCCTCATCTTTCTTTTTTTTTTTTTTTTTTTTTTTTTTTTGTGATATTCATGACATTTCGACCAATGTACACTCAGGTTTTCTTCAGCTGATATATGATGGAATTTCAAGCCGAACCTTTTAATTAGTCCACATAGGTTGATTGTTCTAATACCACATGCTATGCCTTTCCTGGATATCTCAGCTTCAGTTAATAATTCCCTTTAGTAACTTTACTCTTTAAATTTTTTTTTTTTTTCTTTCTGTGTTCCCTCTGCTGTGGCCAGCTATTGAACTCTCAACTTCCCAAGACCACGTGGCCCAGTAGATAAAAGCGTTGATTAGAGTACTTCAAAAAGTGATTTAACCCTTAAGAGTTGTGAGCCCAATACCTGGCTACAGCAGAGGAAACAAAAAAGTCTTGGAGAGTTGAGTTACTAAAGAGAATTAATTGAAACTGAGAGCTCCAGAAAAGGTATGATACATGGAATTAGAACAATCAACCTCCATGGCCTAAATAAAGGGTTCACTTCCAGTGTATATTACCTGAAGAAGGCTGGAACTTACAATGGCCGAAATGTTGGGAATATGGCAATAAAGATGAAGACAACAATCCAAACGATGTAAATAGTTACAATACCCCATTTCAGACAGATGCCAATAAATGATTAAACTTTTAATAAACTCCGCCATAATGCTACATGAATCATTTAATGTTGATACCTGAAACCTTTTTTTTTTTCTCTCTCCCTAATGCCAGGTTTTTCTGCTACAACATCCAACCCAAGTAAGTCCTTTTGACACCTTTTTTGCATAAGTGACCTTTGCCTTAATGTTTTGTATCCATCTGTCTCTTACTAAATATATATATATATATATATATATATAATCTCAGTTACTTTTTTTTTTTCTTGCTTGTTTTTATGATTATATTATGTTTGTATCATGTACACCATTTAAAAATATATAAATTTCAAGTTGTAGAGAATTTAGTTGGAGTTGTTACTTGTTTACATGTGTGTTTACACTGAAATATAAGATTGGTAGATTTGTTTATTTTCTATGACTTATCAACCCATTGCAGGTTATTTAAAGCCAGGAAATATTTTTAGATTGTAAAAATTTTTATATATATATATATATATATATATATATATATATATATTATGGTGATACAAGCTGGGGGTGGGTGAAAAGGTAGATTCATATCTTTCCTAAGAGTATTTGCCTATAAGTGAATATGCCAAACTGGAATTGAAACTTAGCTCTCTGATTTACAAATTTTCAAGCCATTATCCATTACACCAACTGCACATCGAAGCTTGGAGTAGTATTCCCAAGTGGTCATCCATCTAGATACTGGGCAGGCTCAGCATTGCTTAACTTTGTTGAATGTACTAGAACCATTGTTTAAACGTGAAGTGGCCGTAAGCCATAAATATGAAATGTACATTCACATCAAAATGAAAGTTTGTACATAGATTAATATTTTCCATTGCTGACCATTTTGAGTCTGAAAGATTTTGGAAACTCAAACATAACTTTTCAAATATATCATCTGTAATTTTTGGATTTCACTCTTTAGCACCAGCTCGTCCTGGGTATGACAATGCACTATATCCAGCAGCAAAGTCTCTGATCAGGAGGTTTTGGGGAGCCTGGAACCACTTCTTAATTGCTACTGTTCCCAGGTTCACTCTGACCTGGGGTGGTAGCACTTGTTAGGGTCTCAGCTATGGGCAAATAGTTACCTTTCAAACTGGGGTGAAAACACTATGAAAGTATAAAAATACATTTTTATAGTAAAATTACCAGAGGTGGGTACCAGCAATACATTTAACTCTCGACAAAAATTCTATTCATATGAACCTGTCCTAAAAATCTTGTTGGCATTAAATAATCCCTTGATGTTGATATGCTGTAAAACAAAATATGCCAAGCAATATGTATTGGTACCCACGTTGACAATAAACCAACTTATTTAAATAAGAAACTATTCACTTCAGTTATTTGAAATGCTAATTTAGACATGAAATCTCTTCAGAAAAGATGTATATGTTTCCTCTGTCTAGAAGCAGTCAAAGCCTATATTATGAGAATGAATAACTCTTTCTTTAAAATTGTTTCATAACAGCAACTTCTATATTAGGTACCTGGACTATAAAGGTCTAAGGAATTTTTTTGTTGCAGTGGATGAGGCTAGTATTCCATTATGAGAAGTTTTGTGGCAAACAAGTTGATATCTGATCAATATCGATTGAGGCACTGTGCTTATGATACATGCCAGAGCATCTAAGAAATGTATTTCAGAAAAGTCTGCCTTTTTAATAAATAGATAAAATCATTAAAGTTTTATTTTAAAAAAATAAAAAATAAAAGTTTTACAAGCTAAAACTGCCTATTTTTATACAATATTGAAATTCTTGGTTATTATGTGTTAAAATAGGGATTAACAATTTTTGTTATTAGCATTTCTTCATTTTCTTGCAACAACAAATTTTTTTTTTTTTTTTTTTAATTATTCTACTTTCCATCCTAAAACCAAATTTAATGTTTTTAATTAGGGAAGTGAAGTAATTTATAAAAAAAAAAAAAAAAAAAACAAATTTGGTTGTTAGGATGGAAAGTAGAATAATTAAAAAAAAAAAACATTAATTATTGCACTTCTCTTAAAAAAAAAAAAATAATAATAATAATTGTTTATCAGCATTTTAATCTGCCTTCACAAATTCAGATTTCAGACCATTTTCTTGGCCTATTTGAAGTAAATGTATCTAAGTCAAAAAGCTTGAAAAACACATCTTTGTTCGCATTAAGATTTTTTTTGTCAAAGAAAAATGTTAAATTTATTAATAGATTTATCAATGTTCCGTGTATTCTATATTTTGACATGTAAATAGATTTGCAATTGTTTTACAAGGGAAAGACAAACATTTTTATTTATACTTGTGTGTGTTATGATTTTTTATCACTTCATGTTTTTCATCTTTATTCAAGGGTGGATATAGACCTAATACCCTGCCCTCTCTTTTCCTAATTTAAACTCAATGTTTGGTTCATATGTGATCTGAATTGGTTAATTCCTTTAACAAAATATATTGTGCATTCTCTTGTTTTAAATTCTTACTTTGCAAAACCTGATAATGTGCTTGAATTTTATATTTTGTTTACATTTAAAATCATAAACCAGCTACTTTTTCAAAGTTCTGGCTTCATCACTGATGTTTATTATGCATTAACTGACTAAATAAAAACACTCCCTTCTATCTTCAGTTTACATTAGATTCTTTTCCATATGAAAGGTTCAAAAGTTATTGCAATTTTATATATATTTGTTAATAAATTAATATGGTTCATTATTTACATTATTCGAACTATTGTCCTCATCTTTGTCGCCATATTTATCACAACGTTTCGGCTGTTGTATGCTCCGGCCTTCTTCAGGTGGTTGGAATGTCGAACTGAACCCTTTATTTCGCTCACCGGGGTAGACTGTTCTAGTTCTACGTGCCATGTTTGATGGATGTCAGTTATCTCCTGTTAATGTAAATAATGTACATAATACCTCATCTCGGAAATATAGACAGACTCTAACATGGTTCAGTTAGTTTAACTTTTGACAATGTTTTACGCTCATCAGGGTCAGATATGACCAGATATGCAATTCTTAATCTACATAAGAAATGCTAATAATAGATTCCAAACAAGCTTCTGGCTATATCACATTGAGACATTGGTTCTCATACGATCACATAAGTTAAGTAATGTCAGGCTGGATCAATACCTAGATGGTTGACCACTTGGGAGTACCAAGTGCTGTAAGTTTGGATGTGCAGGTGGTGTAATGGGTAATTGCTTATAATTGGAAATCAGAGCAGAGTTCCAATTCCAGTTAGGTTCGTTATATTCACTTACATTCAAATACCCTTGGGAAAGGTATGAATCTAACTCATCCTCCCAAGTATGGGTTTATCAGTAAATCATTATCTTCAAATTCTTACAATCTAAAAATATTTTCTGGCTTTAAAAACCTGCAAAAGGTTGATAAGCTGAAAAAAAATCAATCAACAGACTTCAAACAAGCTTCACATTTGTGCTGTGCTAAATATTTAATCAGAAGTGTTATAATATGACTAAATTATTTATTTAGTTATTGTCTATTGTTCTAGTTCTTTATTGAGCAACTTAACAATATTCTGCTTGTGCTTATGAAAGCATTTGTAGTTAATTTGTTTGTCATTTACGTGTTTATTATAATTATTTTTCTTGGGGTTATCTTATTTGTTTAGTTTAAAGTATTGCTGTTGTCTAAATTATGTTACATTATCTGCATTGTGTATAGTGCATATATTTGCATTTATCATGGTGATATTTTACAAGGGATTCACTTTTCTTTTTCTTTTTTTTTTTTTTTTTAAGAAACAGTAAAAATTTGTTTTGTCTGCATTTTGAGATAAGTTCTGATTGTTTATTTAATAATTTGTGTTGGTCTGGGAAGGTGATTAAAGCTATTTTCTCTTTTTCTCTTCCAGACATTGCTTATACTTTTTAGATTTATTGTTTTAGTCTGATGAGGTTTTTCTTATTTTCTATGAAATTTTTGGTGTAATTTAGTTTTTTAATTTCCTATATGTTTTGAAAGTATTGTGCCATTCACATTTATTATTTGTAAAGGAGGTAACTTCTCTATTTCTAAGGTCCTTCAGTTACTTCCATGTATTTTGTTATCTGCTTTTACAGTGGCTTGATATATTACATTGTTTTGCAAGCAATTGCCACTTAAGAGATGTTCGTTCTTTACTATGCAGTTACAGGTAGATTTGGTTTCTGCAGGTGGTTTGTTGGTTATTTTTCTGTTGTGTTTTTATTTGTCATGCTCTCAGTGCAACTGTAGCTGATTTTTACTGTGTTTCTATTGACACTCTTATGAAAATTGCTAGATGTGGGGGGGTGTATGAGTAATTAATATTTTTCCTACATTTGTTAAGTTTTTGTTGTATGGTGGGTTGTAGGTTGACTGAGGAGCAAGAATGTGATAGAAGAAACTGTTAGCATGTAACTTATGGTTACATCTAGTTGTGTTCAACTGCAAAAAGAGACCTTGCTGCCGATTTAGTACTGTTTAATTTCATAAAGTAGGTACCATTATAAAAAAAAAAAAAAAATTTGTCAGAACAATTACAATAAATGTATTCATAGAAAAGATACAGGGAAGCTATGTTACAGCAGTGGGAAAGGGACTAAAGCTGAGATGCAAGGTCAGGACCAATCACATTGCAGATTGACAAATGGTGGTTATAAATTCTCAACTGGACTCTCCTTTATTTAATCTACGTGAATAGTCTTTTTTCGTTTCACTGTCCATGTTTAGGGATAACTCATCTAGTTTTTATTTGTTAGTTTGTAAATTAATTGACATAGTAATCGTGTGTTCAATTCCTGGGCCGAGCAGTATGTACTTGGACACAGCGTAAATGGGGTGAACAATAACTGACCAGTGCTAAAAAATAGTGATTCAAGTTTTATTGCACACAAAATTCGGTAAGCATTTCTGGAATGTAATATAAATTTTATCTACATTTTAACAATTAACTTAATGCTTATTAGAGTTAATATATTTTATAACACAGTTTTATGGTTTGTTGTTTTTTTTTTAATAGTGTCTATTAGTGTCCAATTTAGATTTGAAATCTTTCAATTCTGAAGTGTCACTGTCTAAGGAAGGTTGGGAGAATACTAATCTACAAAAATTATTTCCTTTTTTTTTTTTTTTATGAGTGGGCTAGTTTATTTAAGTATTGCTGATAATTGAAATAGGTTTATTGTTCTATTTTATTGCTTAACCTTTAAGTGTGTTTAAATAATTTTCTGTTATTTTGGAACTTGTGTGGCATTTTGTTATCTTAAAAAGTCTAGCAAAACTGAAAGGTTATATCTAAATATTAAATACAATTTTTCTTGGTATGAATTTTTGATGTCAATCTTTTTAGCTGTCTTTTTAATTTTTTTTCTTTTTTTTCTTTCCAAAATAAAATATATTGATGTAATTTTTGTGTTACAAATAATTTTTTTTTTTTTTTTAAGCTTTATTTATCAATTTATGAGCTCTAACAAGCAATAGGTAAACAATTCTAATTTGCCCAAGTAGCCTTCATTACTTTTTTTTTGAAGCAATACCAATTATTATATTTATTATTTAAGGGACTTTATGTTGGGAGTAGTTAGCAACTTTCTGTAAATTAGATTTAATTTTTCTTTTCTTCAAAAGGTTTTTTTTTTTCTTTCTTTCTTTCTTTCTTTTTTCAATTCATTTCTTAAAATTATACTTGGTTATTTTCAAATTCTATAATGATAAATGAATAGTTCTGGCCTCCATGCAAAAAAAAAAAAAATAAACAAACCTTATGTAACTAGTGTGCATATTTGTGATCTGAACATTGGATAACCAATTCAACTTTCTAAAAGTTATTAGCCATTTAAACTTTTGTAGTTTAGTGTATGAAGTGGTAATATTTTCAGAGGTGAGGAAACTTTACTTTTTTTTTTTTTTTTTTTTAAACTGTCCCCTTCTATGACTCTTCTTAGCTTCTCTCTCAAATTTTGGAAATGTTTCTGCCCGGGGATAGTTTCTCTCTTTTATATAAATATTTTATATATTGATATAGTTTTATCTTGTACACATGTATATTTTTTTTTTTTTTTTTTTTCTCTCAAATATTAAGAAAATGTAAACAAAAATCTATCATACATTATCTGTCAGTTTTTAAGGCATATATAAGACAAAAGGAAAAGTTGGTCAATGTGTTTTGTCCTCTGAGGGACTTTATCAAGGCAAATGTAAGGATTTTATTTTGTGATAAGTATTTATATACAAGAGCAAAAATGTTATTGGTTTTTTCAAAATTTTTTATATAAGGGTGCTCATAAATATTCATCAGTTTGGCGAAATCATATAACACACAAATCAGTCCCAATCCATAATAATTTAAATACTAATTTACGCACACACATATACATATGCACATGCTAAAAAAAATATACCTTCTACTCACTTTTACTTATTAGGCATTGAACTATATAACCCCACATCCATGAATTTTCCTGACATTTCTGACTACCCCAGTAGTTTGAAATTGACATGAACACAGTTTATCATATAGACTGAATTGTCTATTTGCAGCAATATGTTTTTAAAACCTGAGGCCAGCTGTTAACTTTTTATTTATATTTTTTTTTTCACTGTTATATACAATCTATTGTGCTTTTGTTTCTATATTCCTGTCCTGGTTATGACAATAAACTACTTCTGACAGCAAGGCCTCTGATCAGAAGATTGGAGGTTTTGAGGAGTGTGTATTTGCTGTTGTCCACAAGTTCACCCTGACCTAGAGTGGTAGCACCTGTTAGGGTCCCAGCTGTGGGCAAATAGTGACCGCCCCCCCCGCCCCCCTTTCCAACAAAATATAGTAAAATAGTAGCAATAAATTTTTATATTAAAAAAAAAAAAAAAAAAAAAAAAAATGATGATTGCAATACATTTTATGTGTAGTTAGAACCATAAAATTGTTAAATAGCAGATAGTTTAAGGCACTAAACAGAATCAACCAACCAACCAAATATTTATTCCCTTTGTTGTAAACAAACTATTGTATTGGTTCTTTTCTTTTTTTTTTTTTTTTTAGTTCTTGGTGCCAGCAAAATGATGCCGAATCCATTTGCAATAACAACCCAGTCGTCTGAAGGTCAGTTATTGTTTCTTTCTTTTTTCTTTTATCTTGTTTAGTTATCAATTGCCAATCTATAATTAAGACTTTTTCTCATTTTTGTCTTTAAGGTTCAGTGATTTCTAGTCACTAATCTGTTTCCTTGTCTTTTTATTTATTTATAATAATTAAAAACTTGTCTGTTTATGTGTCAAGAATAAAATTTATTAGTTCTTAAACTTTAAGTTTAATGTTCGTTCCGTGAATATGCCACGAATGTGGTTTATATTATTTACATTCAAAATAAAATCCTTGTTATTATCACAATGCTGTGGCCATTCTACCCTCTGTCACTTCTGTAAAGGTCTGACAATTTGGATAACCTTCAGAGCATTTCAAACTTAATCCTTTATTTAAACTATTTATTCTTGTTCTGCTTCACTTGTTTAGCAATATTTATATACTATAACAGAAAATGCAAGACAATATAGCCCTAGATATGGACAGTGAAATAACAATCTACTCCCATAGATTAAATAAAGGGTTCAGTTCAAAATTTCCTGAAGGCTACCCACCAAAAATGAAGTCATTAGACTGTAAATAATAACACCATATCCTAAAAATTCAGGCAGAAGGCAATCAGGTGTTAATAACAAAGATGAGAATAATAGTCCACATGTAAATAACTCCTCATCCCAGAAATTCAGGCAGAATGTGATCAGGTGATGAAAACCATAAAGTGGAGGACACTAGTCTGAATGTAAATAGTGATAGTATCAAAGATGAGGACACTAGTCTGAATGTAAATAGTGATAGTATCAAAGATGAGGACACTAGTCTGAATGTAACAGATAGTATCAAAGATGAGGACACTAGTAAATAGTGATAGTATCAAAGATGAGGACACTAGTCTAAATAAATAGTGATAGTATCAAAGATGAGGACACTAGTCTATGTATCAAAGATGAGGACACTAGTCTGAATGTAAATAGTGATAGTATCAAAGATGAGGACACTAGTCTGAATGTAAATAGTGATAGTATCAAAGATGAGGACACTAGTCTGAATGTAAATAGTGATAGTATCAAAGATGAGGACACTAGTCTGAATAAATAGTGATACAAAGATAGGACACTAGTCTGAATGTAAATAGTGATAGTATCAAAGATGAGGACACTAGTCTGAATGTAAATGATAGTGATAGTATCAAAGATGAGGACACTAGTCTGAATGTAAATAGTGATAGTATCAAAGATGAGGATCAAAGATGAGGACACTAGTCTGAATGTAAATAGTGATAGTATCAAAGATGAGGACACTAGTCTGAATGTAAATAGTATGATAGTATCAAAGATGAGGACACTAGTCTGAATGTAAAAGTGATAGTATCAAAGATGAGGACACTATCAAAGATGAGGACACTAGTCTGAATGTAAATAGTGATAGTATCAAAGATGAGGACACTAGTCTGAATGTAAATAGTGATAGTATCAAAGATGAGGACACTAGTCTGAATGTAAATAGTAGTGATAGTATCAAAGATGAGGACACTAGTCTGAATGTAAATAGTATCAAAGATGAGGACACTATCTGAATGTAAAAATCAAAGATGAGGACACTAGTCTGAATGTAAATAGTGATAGTATCAAAGATGAGGACACTAGTCTGAATGTAAATAGTGATAGTATCAAAGATGAGGACACTAGTCTGAATGTAAATAGTGATAGTATCAAAGATGAGGACACTAGTCTGAATGTAAATAGTGATAGTATCAAAGATGAGGACACTAGTCTGAATGTAAATAGTGATAGTATCAAAGATGAGGACACTAGTCTGAATGTAAATAGTGATAGTATCAAAGATGAGGACACTAGTCTGAATGTAAATAGTGATAGTATCAAAGATGAGGACACTAGTCTGAATGTAAATAGTGATAGTATCAAAGATGAGGACACTAGTCTGAATGTAAATAATAACTCATCCCAGAGATTCAGTCTGGCACATTCAATACTTTGTGCTTTTTGGAAACTATTATCCACAGATTTTGTGTGTAATAAATTTGACGTGTAATGCTTTCCACAGTATATAAATATTCTGATCCAAAGCAGAAGTGGTAATTGATGTGTGAATAATCGCATAACTTTTGATAGATACAATGTTACTTCAAGATAATGCCCTCTATGTTAAGGTAGAAATACAAAATTTTCGTTTAAAAAATATATTCTACTTTAAAATTCAGTCATAACTTTATAATGAAAACAAAATCTTTTCAAAATTTAATAGTTGTTTCAAAAAATTGCTTTGTTATTCATCCCATTTTTGAAGTTGTCAAATCTAAATCTTGTTCTGCCTAAACCTGACCTTAAATGTGCAACAGTGAGCTGAAGTTTGTCTTGAGTCCAAAAGCTAAAAAAGTAATATATTGCAAACACATCAGGTGTCTAGTGTGAGATCTCACTCATTTTCACAGCTCTTTCTAGGTCAATTCTAATTTTAGATGATGGCACCACCAAATTTGTAGTCACTGACTTATCAGATATTTGATCCTGCCTACAAGATAGTAGTTGTAAGTTTTTATGGTCCACTAGGGACAGTCAATCAAGAATAAACCTCCGTCAAGGTTATATATATATATATATATATATATATATATATATTCAGATAGTGTATCTGTAAAGAAACAAAATGGATAAAAAGACAAGGAAAAAAATAATCTCAATCGACATGTTTTGTCCTTTGAGGGACTTTATCATGGCAAATATGGTTTATTTTTCTTTTGTATATAAACACGTGCAACAAAATAAATCTTACATTTTCCTTCGTCATGCTTCTCACCTCTTAAAATTGTTCTTGATATATAAAAAATCTCAAAGGGGTATACAGAAAAATGTGTCAGCTAGAATAGTTTTCCTCTTGTCTTTTATATATATATATATATATATATATATATATATATATATAGCTTGTATTCCAAAATCAGAAAGAAAAAACCTGCAAACCAAATCACTTCTGATCCCAAGAATCTTGAATAAAGGTTTCCCAACCTGTATAATAAAATACATGTCATTTTTGTGGACTTAGTGTTCCAAATTTACATAAGAAAGAAAATGTTAAAAACAAAGATGACTGCATTTCAGTCACAAATATTTTATTGTCTCCATTATTGTTATTCAATACATTGTTGCCATCATTAATTTCTCTGTTCATTTTTGACATTATTTACTACTGTATAAGTATTTACACTATATAATCTGACTACTATCCTCATCTTTGTTGTTGTTATCACGTTTTGGTTGTTGTGCTTTCCTCGGGTGTATATCAATTCGGGTCACAGGTCAATATCCTAGATGATAAAAGCAGTGGTTTGTGAGTTTGATGATATAGTGGTTGTGAGTTCAATTCCTGGGTTGGTCAGTGTGTACTTGCACTCAGTGGAAGTGGGTGAGCAATAACTAAACAGTACGAAATAAAAATAAGAACAAGCCAATATCCTTAGACATGACCAGCGGAATGAGAACAATCTGTCCCTGTAGATTAAATAAAGTGTTCAGTTCTAAAATCTCTGTAGGTTACTCAGATTGACATACACCTGAGAAAAGCTGGAGAGCATAACAACTGAAACATTGTGATAATGACAAAGATGGGATTAATAATCCAAATATAAATAGTGTAAATAAGTCCTCATCCCAGAAATTTAAACAAAAATGTTATGTAAGTAATCTTTTAAAAAAAAAAAGCAAGGATTTCAAGAATTTTCTTCAAATGTCAGATAACTATTCTCTTAGTTTGTCTATATTTCTGAGATGAGGTATTATGTACAGTATTTACATTAGTCGGACTATTGTCCTCATCTTTGTCGCCTGTGGGATCATGTTGAGATCATAGACAGGGAACACCATTGGAAAATTCGTAAACTTAAGGAATCAGCACATATGCTAGGCCACAAAAATCTCCTGAGCCGACCAAGCATAGAAATAAATACAATATGGGAACCAGTAATAAGGAGTGCCAGAGAAAAGCAATGATAACAAAGTTGCAATATGAACTCTGGTAAAGACATGCAACAGCAAAAATTGCAATATGAGCACTGGTAAAAATGATGCTGAAAACATTAGGTTTATAATACTCAGAAGTTCATACAAGTTCCTCAAGGACACATGGCACAGTGGATAAAGGCGTTGGTTAGATCCAGTGACAGACCCAAAGAAGGTGAGTTCAATTCCTGGTTAAGGCAGTGGAGAACTTTCAGATGGAAAATTAGCAGGAGATAACTGATAACTGACATCCATCAAACATGGCACGTGGAATTAGAACAGTCTACCCCAGCGATCGAAATAAAGGGTTCAGTTCGAAATTCCAACCACCTGAAGAAGGGCCGGAGCGTACAACGGCCGAAACGTTGTGACAAATATGGCGACAAAAAGATGAGGACAATAGTCCGACTAATGTAAATACTGAACTATTCTCTTACTCTTACATTACTAAACATACATACACACACACATATATATATATATATATATATATATATATATATATTATAAATTGATTGATTTAAAAAAAAAAAACAACATATTTTAAATCAATTAATTTATAATATTAATGCTCTGTAAATTTACATTGAGCACTATTTTATAAAAATATCTATAAGAACACCGGATTATATATCTTACTGTTCTTTCTTTTTATTTATTTATTTATTTTTATATATATATATATATATATATATATATATATCTTCAGTTTATCTCTGGGTTCAGGGTTTTAGGCTTAAACTACTATTTTTAATTTGTTAGGCAATGTGGTCAGTTACCTACTTCAGACAGCAAATTTTTTTTTTTTGTCTTTCTTTCCTAAATTTATTTTTCTGCTTGCTTATACTAATACATAAGCTACATGCCTGTTTTTACAAGGGGGCGCTGAAAATTAGTCCAGCAAAAAAAGAAAAAATCTTTTCATTTGCTAAGATTTTAGGATAAGTTAGGCCAAGAACTTTTCAGCAGTATTTCATATCATTTCTGTGCAAAGTGTGTGTGGGAATTTATGGCTCTCCACGATTTCCTGTCCCTTATAGCTCTAGTCAATATTTCTTTCCCATCCCTCCTTGTCCCTGCTCTGCCATCTATTCTCATAAACTTATTAGGCAAGTTGTTCACTGTTTCCTCTCCTTTCCTCAGTACATCCTGTAAATATTAAATTTTCCAATCTGGCCTTCCTCAAAGAAACTGTATTTTCTTCCATAAGGCATACATTTTCCCACTGAAACTTCAAAAATCACCCACTGTTTTGTATCCCAAATGGCTTGGGGAGGTTATAAACACCTTTATCTGGTACACTGGTCTCCTGAGGAACCCCAAAATTAAATGATTATAAATTGTAAATGCAAATCGTGTTAAAATATATATTTTTTTTTAAATCCTGTTTGACTCGTATATACTCGATTTAAAATTGTTAAATTATGATTATAAATCAAAATATTGTTAAAGTATATATATTTTAAAAAACTTGATATTAGTTTTTTTTTTTTTAATAGTCCTTATCGAATTCCTGTATATTATACACCAGTATTTTTATTTTTATTAAGAAATTAAAAAATTTTGCTAAGATTTAAGTCACTAATATTACTTGAATTCTGAAATGCGAATGAAATGTATTTGCACCAGCACCTGAGAGAGAGGAAAAAAAAAAAAAAAAAACTTGTAAAGAAAATTACAATAATATAGAACAAATTAAAATATCACTTTCAAATGATACAAATTTTAACATGTTGCAAAGTTAAGATACAACTCAAAAAAAAACAAAAATTGATTGTATATACTCATCAGTATGGCTAAAAGTATCTTAATAGCATTTTATTATTGGCTGTTTGTTAAATAAGACTAATTGTATACTTATAGAGTAAAAATAAAATTAAAATTTACTATTAGTCAAGAAACTGAACTGTAAAAAAGATTTAGAAATAAGGTTTAAAAAGTATGCCAACTTTTTAAATAAATAAAGTGAAGCAAAATGATTCCATTTCAAGAGGAAGAGGTAGGTAGTTAAATCAGACAATTCAATACTTTATATGTGGTCCCTTTATAAACTCCATAAATTCTGATCCCCTGATAAAATGATGAAAATTGTAAGCCTAAAAAATCGGCCGTTTTCACTCCAAGTTAATTGTAGAGTTCTCTTTGGTTTTCATTTGATGACTCTTCTATTTATTAGGAATTATTGCTCCCAGTCGATTTGGTTTATCACGACAGCCAGGTCCTGACTCCACTAGTAAGTAACTATTTACATCCTGTAACCATTGCAGATTTGAAATGTTCAAACTGACCAATATAGAAATGAGTCAACTTTAATGGGTCCAGGAAATAAAGCCAAAGCTGGAATTGCAAATCGGCAAAATAAATAAAATTGGTTTTTAATTTGGAATGTGTGTGTGTATAGAAGAATTCTTTTGGTCTGTAAAATAAACAGAATTAAAACTAATAATCAGAAATATCTAGTGAAACAAACGGCAAAGCACATGGAAAGAGTCAATTACAGTGAGAATAGGAAGAGAATCATATTCCAGAATAACTTTTGTCTGCTGCTTAAGCAAAAGAACAGATATATATAAAAACACTGTTTGGTGACTTAATTTCACATCATAAGAAATCATTAGATCCAATCATGGTCATTTAGGCATGGCAGTTACCATACTGTGTTTCTATGTCTACACTGCTTTTATTGAGCATTCTTCTGATGTAAATATAGTGAATTTTGAACATAATCAATCCTTTTTTGTTGATACTCAATGTTGCCAATTAATAATAGATAAATTGGTTTTATCCTTGTTACTAGTTATAATTTGATTAAGTAGATATTGTATTATGGCAGTAAATGTCCATTCAGTTATGTGGCATACTCCCATTAAAGAATCATAGTTACCATCCTAACAAATAATAAAAGGTTGCTACTCACTGAACTGGCTTATGTATAAACAAGTGCTTCTGCACTGTTGAGAAATGAATTGAATTTTTAACTAAAGCTCTCTAACATGGAGAACATGCTGTTTTTCTATTGGCTGTGTGCTGCTTTGCGATTACAGAATTAGGTTACTAACTCATTAAATGATACTATTTTATCTAGTATACTCTCTAGCTTCTTGATTAGCTAATCCTCATTTTTAATTTCAGTAGCTAATTTGACGGAATATTGACATGCTCTTCATCCAGTTTGTATTAACATATGCTTAGGATGTACAACTTGCTGCAGTTGGTAGTCTGTTAGAAATTAGAAAAATCCTGTTCATATTAAACCCACTTAACATTATTTTTCACTCTGGTATCTTAAGGAAAGGCATGAAACCAATCATCTTATATCTGGTCTCTCTCAGCAGTAAATATAGAAGAGAATAAAAACAAGAATACTGAAATCATGTGCCATTTTCCAACATGGTCAAAACCTGCCTTTTGTCAACCTATCCTAATTTATTTTTATTTAAATTTTCATGCTTGCATTCATATGAATGTTATTTTAACTTGAAAGTATTTTATTAAATAAATATTTCTTTTCTATTAAATAGTGTTATGATGGGCTGCCAAATATTTTGATATTGTTTTTATGTTCTTCTTTTATTATAAGAAGGCATGTAATCTTTTCCCTGGTTCTTTGCTTGAATCAATAAACCCCACCAGGTTTTCATGAATTGATGTAGTCTGGTGTTTCACATTTTATGATGCATATAAGAGTTGTACCATAAAACCGTATTTTCATCAAATAACTATTTTATTTTACTTGTGCCAAAACATCTACTTATATATTTGGAGATCATAATGTCAGAAAAAATTTAAACCCTATATTGGTTGATCCTATAACTTGACTTCTTGTCCTTCATAGTCTTTGATGCCCAACAATTACTTGGCAGTGTTTATCTGCTTTTTAAAAGTATTATGTTAAAAAAAATTTGTTGTATTGGATTAGTTGCTTGCTAAGATCATCTGCTGTCATCTCAACACCTTCATGTTTCTATTGCCCAAAACCATTCTATTTTGACCTGATTTTTTTGTAGTATTCCAATCTTTTCATGTTTTTCTCTATTCATTATTTTTCTTAGAATCATTGTGTAAAATTTTAATTTTCTCTTTTTTCTTTTTTTTCTTTTCTTTTTTTTTTTTTTTTTTTTTTTTTTTTTTTTTTTCTTTTTTTTTCTTTCTTTTTTTTCTTTCTTTTTTTTTTTTTTTTTCTTTTTTTTTTCTTTTTTTTTTTTTTTTTTTCTTTCTTTTTTTTTTCTTTTTTTTTTCTTTTTTTTTTTTTTTTTTTTTTCTTTTTTTTCTTTTTCTTTTTTTTTTTTTTTTTTTTTTTTTTTTTCCTTTTTTTTTTTCCTTTTCTTTTTTTCCTTTTTCTTTTTTTCCTTTTCTTTTTTTTTTCCTTTTCTTTTTTCCTTTTCTTTTTTTCCTTTTCTTTTTTCCTTTCTTTTTTTTTTTCTTTTTTTTTTTCCTTTTTTTTCCCTCTTTCTTTTTCCCTCTTTCTTTTTTCCCTCTTTTTTTTTCCCTCTTTCTTTTTCCCCTCTTTCTTTTTCCCCTCTTTCTTTTTCCCTCTTTCTTTTTTCCCCTCTTTCCCTCTTTCTCCTTTTTCCCTTTCTTTTCTTTTCCCCCTCCTTTCTTTCCCCCTCCTATGCAGTTGATGTATAAGCATTCTATAGTCTGTTTCCTATACCAAAATAAACCAAAAATCTTCTACAAAATTAAAACTTACAAACTATAAGAAAATGAAAATAAAACATTCTGCCTAGTATGTGACAGCAGGAATTTAAAATGTTCCCAAGCTCTTTAGAATTTTGATTGGATTAAAAAGTAGCTATGTGGTGTACTGACAGTAGGGAAGAATTCTTGACCTAACCAAGTCAGCCATCTTAACATGTCAGTGTCAGAATCTTTGTCAGTATATCAACTGGTGGAAAAGAATGAGGGAAGATAGTTTTATGCCTTTCCCCACCAAAAGGGGCAAAGTAAACCTGTTTGTCATCGTCATTTTCCATACTGTAATAACTGCTGCACTATTTCACACTTTCCACAATAATTTACTGAAAAGTAATTTCTGAGAGGAAATACATCTTTTAATTATCTCAGCAAAACCATAGCAACAACCAATATGCTTCCATCTTTGGTTTTAATAATTTAAAAACAAATTTATAACCGAGTCGTTCTCATGGACTTAATGATCCATGCAGGTGCCATGTGGCTCTCTTGGACTTCATGATCCATGCAAGTGCCATGTGGCTCCAGAACTATCAAAGGTAAAGTATATATAGTTTTTAAATAATACAACTTGACTGCTGGCTTTATAGTTTTGTATGTATTTTTGCTAAATTTCTCTCATTCAGTGCTACTAGAAATTCAATAAATTTGTATTCACCTTTGCTGAATGGAAGAGCATTTGTTTTGCTGGTTGCTAAAATGAGATTATTTTGTCTCAGACAATAATTTTATAGTATAATATAAAAAAAAAATATTAGTTTACATAAAATAAATGTTATGCCTGTTTTGTTTCTTTTCCTCTCTAGATTTTAAATCAGCTGGTTTCAAATCAGGTCCACTCTTCGCCCCCTCCAGATTAAGTAAGTATCTTGTCTGTCTGTGTGTTAAAATGGCACATTATTTTTTCCCTCCAACTTCTAAGCTATTTTTTATCATTGTCTCATTGAGCCCTTATATGTCTGCTATGTGGCAAATTATTGACAAAACTATGTTCAAACAACTTACATGGTTAACTTTCTTCTCCAGTAGAAGTTCGCTTACAACTACATTACTTTCAAACACCGTTTCTCACACAAACAGATGTTTTAAGCAACATCGAGCTTGGTCAGTACCTAGATTGTTGACCACTTGGGAATACCAGTTGCAGTAACCTGGGATGTGTGGGTGGTATAATGGGTGACAACCCAGAATTTGTTATATTCAATTACGCACAAATATCTCTGGGGAAGGATATCCAACTCTTCTCCCCTGGTTATGGGTTAATTAGTAGAACCATTATCTCCAAAATGATTCTTCAGTCTCTAAAGATATATTTTCTGGCTTTAAATAACCTGCCTACATGGTAATCATGTCCATTAAACAGCAAATTCCAATTAGTCAGTCTTAGCTAACTGTAATATATTCAGATAATGTCTGTACAAATTGGTCAGTATAGATTCATATGAATTTTATTTTAATTGGTTTGATTTTTGTAATGCTATATTTTACAGTTAGAAACAGCAGATTAAATCAAATGGTTAAAAAAAGAAAAATCCTAGATGTAAAAAGAAAATGTTATTTTCCATCAACCTATAATTTGGGGTATTTTATGCCAATTATTTCTCTTTCTTGTCTTTCAGATGTTCAGTCTCAAAATGTTCACAGTTTAATCAAACCTGCCACACTTCCTGACCCCACAAATAAGAATTCATTTGATAAAGGTATCTGCAAGTTTTATTGATCAAACTTGATATGTTATTGGTTTGAAGTTAGTTATAGAGAGATTATATATTGGTATGAAAATTGAAAATGTTTTCATTCTTCCTCTTCTAAACAAAAGACTTGTATATATGTATGTTCTGTGAATGATACAGTGATCACCCAAAATGTTAGTTAAATTCCACCTTAGGCATCCATATACAAAATATACTATTATTTGAGTATTATGGATTTTATGGGATTCATTCAAAAAGTAATGTAACTTCTACTTTGGTAATTTGTAAATGGAACAGATTGATCAGATTTGTTCAAATTATCAACCAGCATTTCACCAGCTGGTAATGTTTCAGCAATTTCTTTTCTTCTGCTTAACTAAATTCATCCACCAATTAGCTTCATACATTGGGATAGCAACTAAATATGCTACAAAATTGCTTTCATATTCTCTCTTGCATCTTTCAGCAAGATATCTTATCAGCAACTTGAAGAGAACTATTAAATCACAATCCCACTTACTACAAGAATAAGAATCCCTAAAATGGAAAGGGCTTCTCATCAGATAACTTTTCCATTTTTTTTTTAATTTTTTTTATTTTGTTTTAGAAAAAATCTTACAAATATATGTGAATAATCCCTTTTTGTTGTTTCATCTTAGATCAAGCAGAAAAGTCAGATGCTGATTCTTCATCTTCCAAGCCATCGAGTGAGACGCCAAAAGAAGCCGTCTCTTCTGATAATACTACCAGTCGACTGGCAGGAGTTGAAGCAGGAAGTATCAGCTCTACTACAACTCCTGGGCAAAATGAGTCCAGCTCACCTTCAAAATTCTCATCACCGGCCTTTAGTAGGTAATGGAATTGAAAATCAATTTTTTTTCTTTTTGGTTTTTATTGAATGATATGAATTCTTCCTAGTCCCATTAAAAACCCCTTGACGTAGAGTATTTTTTTTCTCCTTTTTTAATTGGATCTCTACTTATTCCAGTTTTCTTGTCTATCATCATTCAACTCCCAAAATTTAAGACTCCCTAGTTAAAAAAAAAAAAAAAAAAAAAAAATACTATAAGCATGAAAGAATATCATGAACTCTTGATATTGTTAAATGTTGTTAATTCCAATTTCATTGGATATTTCATATTTTTGGTTTAATGCCTGAAAAACCTCTTTTATATTTTAAGTGCTAACATATCTCTAAATCTGTAGTCTGTAATTTAATGTGTTTTGAAGAATGTGATCAGAAATGTTTCTTTATTTCTGTTTGATCAGGATGTTCTCTTTGAGGATTTATTCATTTTCTCATAGTAATAAGATTTGTATTTTATGACAAGATTTCAAGATGACAGCTGATGGGATACAGATTTCAGTTTGTTTATTCTCAATAATTGAAATATTACTTTCATTTTCGTTGTTTCTTTCTATACAGTCATGAGGGCCGATTTTTAAAAGAAAAGGAAAATGTCGAATTCATTGTTTTATATGATATATATATATATATATATATATATATAGTTATGTAATGCAAACAAAGAAACTATATCACTGGTTAAAATTAAACCCAGATGAAATTTGTTATATGGTTATATTTTTTTTCTTTATGTTCGTTCAACACTGGTGTCAAATGTAAGAATTTTTATTTTTTTTACTCCACTATTGATAAGTATTAGATTGTCAGTAGTGGAAAAAAAAGCAATGAATGATCAGCCTGATCTTCCCTACTTAATATTTTTTTTTTATGTTCATAATAATACAAAGCATATTCAGTTATTCGTATTGAGTAATATCTCCTGTTGCCATGAGAAAGGAATATCTCAAATTGTGGAAATATAGTATGACAAGTAAATAAACAGATACTATATGGTCGTTTATAACATTGTTTCTACTTGAAGGCTATTTTGCAATCAACAGTTGTTACCTGTTTGTTAGTCTTGTGGAGAGAGAGCACACTTCTTTGCTCCAGCCTCCCACCCTGGAAATCATTGCTCATCAAATTTCCAAATGTAATGATAAAGTTCCACTCAGTGCCCCACCAAACAAACAAAAAAACTTCTGCATGGCTACTTTAAATGAACACTACAATTGTAGCCACTTTTAAGTCAAGGGTCAATCATTATCTATCCCCCTTATCCTCTTACTCTTTTTCCCTCCTCTTACTCTTTTTCCCTCCTCTTACTCTTTTTCCCTCCTCTTACTCTTTTTCCCTCCTCTTACTCTTTTTCCCTCCTCTTACTCTTTTTCCCTCCTCTTACTCTTTTTCCCTCCTCTTACTCTTTTTCCCTCCTCTTACTCTTTTTCCCTCCTCTTACTCTTTTTCCCTCCTCTTACTCTTTTTCCCTCCTCTTACTCTTTTCCCTCCTCCCTCCTCTTTTTTTTCCCTCCTCTTACTCTTTTTCCCTCCTCTTACTCTTTTTCCCTCCTCTTACTCTTTTTCCCTCCTCTTACTCTTTTTCCCTCCTCTTACTCTTTTTCCCTCCTCTTACTCTTTTTCCCTCCTCTTACATGAGTAGTCCTAGAAATTTGTATTCATTTTTTAGCCACGGCTCAAATTAAACAAGATTACTTCCTTTCCAAAAACTACAAAGCAAATTTGCTTCACAAAAGTAATAAAAATCAATTAGAAATTAAAAAAAAAAATACTTTAGTGGTATATGCAAATGAAGAGACTGTATGCAATAGCTTGAAAATATTTCTAAGAATGCATTTCTAATCAGTTTTTTAAAGAGAAAATCATTAGTGTCCTTCATGAATAATTTCTCTGAACACTACAGCCTTAACCTAAAGTCAAGGGTCAACCAATATCTTTCCTCCTGATCATCACTACCTACCACTCCATCTTAGTCATATCACACCTTATTCATTGTAACCATGTTAACAGCAACCCTCTACTTTCAGTGGCTCCCAAGTCTTATATTGGGTGGGCTTTTCATAGTCTGACCTCTTTAATCCATGTGGTCCAGCAACAATGTTTTGAATCCTCCAGCATTAGTTCCTTGAGCGGCTACAAAGAGAGGCGCCACATGGTGTTTTCAGTTTTCCACTGCAGCTCAGTGTTTTTGGGATCTTTGCGCATTTCTTATATATAGCTACATATTTATCCCTTCAGGATGCCACCCAAGACAGCAGGAGATGCCAGTCATGGTGGTAGGTGTAAGTAGTGCAACCATAAACTTTTATCTATGCTTGAAAAGGTGCAGTTACTGAAGAAATTAAAGAATATCAGTAATACATATATAACAACTGTTAATATTTTTTTCTTTCTTCCCCTTCCCCTTTCTGTGATCAAGCAATGTCCTGGGACCAAGGGAAAATGACTACAGAGATTGGACTGTATGAAAAATTTAAAAAATTGTTTAAACAGGTTTATACATAATAATATTCTGCTGCCATTATTAGTGGGTTTTTTTCTCTCCTCTTCTGTCTCTCTGAAATTGAAATTGTTCAATTAGTGAAGATATTTTATATTTACAAACGTCATGCATGAAATCTGAAATTCATAAAATGTAATAAATGTTAAAATATTTAAAAATGATGATGTTTTTGATTTTTTTTTTTTTTTTTTTTTTCCAGACTCGGTGACAATAATGAAAATAAGCTGAATACTTCCAATGCTCCAGCTTCAATTGGAGTAAAAGAAAGTCCCGATGCTGGAGCAGCCTCCAATACTCCAAGCAGCAGTGGGGGAGAATTTGTATTTGGTACTGTCTTGCATCGGCGTGTTGGGGTAAGGACTTGATTATTAAAATGTTAGAAATTTGTTTGTATAAAAACTGCATTTGTTTGTTGGCCTATAATTATTTCAAAACAAAAAAAATTGTTTTAAAGCACAAATTAATAATTATCATCATAATGGTCATACAAATGAAGATATTTGTATGATTTGGCCTTTGATTGTCTAGGATAAATAATTTTTTTAAATCTGATAATTACTATATCTTTCTCTATTCCCATTTTTCTCTGATTATTCCCCCCCCCCACACACACACACACAAACTCCTATTTCTCAGGGAACATTTCTTTGGGCAAAGAATTTATTATCATTAATTGTTTTTCTTTTCTTTTTTTTTCTTTTTCCTTTCTAGGGAATTGATGATAATTCCAAAAAGAGTAACAGTTGTTCTGGTTTTGTGTTTGGTGAGAAGCTTGCAGGTAGAATTGTGGCTGCTGACAAACCTTCCTCACCCCCCTCCTCAGATCACTGCCTTGCAAATTCAGGTGAAGAAGCCAACACTCCAGGTATGGAAACTTTGGTTCACACTTGTTCTCTTTTCCTAACTTTGAATTTGTTAGAAAGCATTCTTCATACAATTGGGTTTACTCAACCAAATGAACATTCCTTCTATAATCAAATAGAAATTATTAGGTTGTTACATAAATTTGTTCATTTTTTTTTTTTTTTTTCTATAATTTACTATAAGACTTATTATTTATTAATATTTCTGATGAATCATTCAGCAACATATCCCCCTTCATTGTTTACAACCTCCTGCCAACGACCCACTAACTGTTCAATGCCTCAACAATAGAAATTCCTAGCTTTCAACTCTAAAAATTCATCAGGCCACATTTTTGTTGAATGTAACCCCCTCTTAAATTGTGAGAAAGTGGCTGAAAAAAGGGGATAGGCTGAATGGGTTAAATCAGAAGAATATAGTTGGGGTGACAGAACCTCCCAACTGGACTCTTTTAATTGATTGTTTGGTCTTGTTGGAAATGTGTGGGCAAGCATTGTCATGTTAAATAATCCCACTCTATCACTGATCAGGTTGTTTTTTTTTTTGGTTTTTTTTTTCAGTTGAATTCTCTATTTAAACCTGATCATTTGTTCAGATGTATGATGCAGTGGAGTTTGCTGCAATGTCTGAGAATTATGTGAAAGTTATTAAGTCAATTAATCTGAACACTGGTTTCTCTAAATTCATTTTCTCTGGTTGAGATTGTTGTTTTGAATCTATTGCTGCTTAAAAAGAATCTTTCATTTCTGATGGTTATCATTAAATGACAGTTGAGAATCTTGGTTGGTTGGAGGATGGCATAGTTTCTACATCTTGACTGTTTAAGAATTCATTCTTTTATTAAGACTTTGTTTGATAGTCTCTGATGTTTACTAAAAGGAAAAGCACTTGTTTCACTAAGTGATTTTTTTCCTCTCTCTCTCTGATTCTCATTGATACAATAGATGTTTTTATCAGTTGATAAATATTTGTTTCCCTAAACTAAATGTTAATCTTTTGTTTTTCCTTTACAGATTTTAAATCAGTTGGCTTCAAATCAGGTCCACTTTTAACCACCTCCAGATTCAGTAAGTGTGCTACCACTTTTTAAGTAACCATGAAAGGAAAACATTTTAAGTTAGGGTGAGAAAAGAGGTGAAAATTGATTTTTCAACAGCAGTGATGAATGGAGAGCTACAATGGCAGGATATGGTGTCTGGGATAGAGGTTGGGTTCTTTGTGTTCACAAGCACTATAAAACTACTCTTTTCTTCTTTTCGTTTACTCAAGGTCTCACCCTGCAAATTGATCTTCTCCATCCATGTATTTAAGTTTTAAATCTGTGGAAGATTTTGCAGAAGCTGCTTGAAACATCCTAGTACAATAAAATTAGGAGGAAAACAATAAAAAATGTGACTTTGAGGACAGACAACTCACTCTGGCTAAGAGAAACAATAACAGCTTATTTGTTGAGGGTGACAGCACTTTAATCCTTCCAAGTTCTGCAGTCTATTTAACTTAGGCTGCTTGGTTAGTCAGTACCAGCCATATTACCAAAATGGCAACAATGTCCCAAACTGGTGATTGGTAGTTGATTTAATAAGTCAGTCATTAAACTCTCAGGCTTTTACTAGGTTTTCAGTTTGCAAATATCTCTTAAACCTGAGAAAACACTTCAGTTGGCTAACTCTTTTTAGCTAGTGTCTTGTAAAATCTGATGAAGGTAGGTGACAAAGGGTTGGGGATAAGAACTTCCTTGTGTGTTCCCTAGCAACCCAACTGCAATTGCCTATGGGCTGAAATTGACCTGCTTATATTGAAGTATCCTAGTATAGTTGGACTGGAGTTAATTTAATTTGTTATAAAATAAAATTAATTTCTCATTTTCTAAGCTTCTCCATATTTGTTTTGCTAACACCCCACTTCCAGATTATCATGTACCTATTGGTCAAAAAGTCTCTGTCATAACTCTTTGGATGAAGTTATACTTACATCACAGACAATATCTCCTCAACCAATTCTTTCACATTGTCTCATCAAATTATAATTTTTGCCTAGGATCCATTCTTTTTATCTGCCCATTTTCATGAATTACCTGCCCATCCTCTGCAGAGATTGATAATTGATAATGAGTTGTCATTTTGTCCAGTTTTTATCTATCTTGTCCCAGCTGAGTCTTGTCACATTTTGTTTCTTCAATTCTCATGAGACATGAGTGTCACCCTCCATATTCAAGAATAATTCTGTTTCCATTAGGCTTGTATTATTTATCTGAGTTTCTATCTTGAACATACACGCTTCTTTCTTGCTGATATATAAAATAGAAAAAAAGCACACCCCCATGGTATTCCTGGTAGGCTAGTAAAATCCAAATTATCTATCTTTGTTATCTCAGGGTTTTACATGAATCTATCAAGTTATTTTTGCGTGATACACACTTCACAGCTTTGACTTAAAGTGTATATTCATGCAAAAGAATTCTCCCTTGCATTCTGCAAACTGACAATTACCCACCTTGTCCAAAAAACAAAACAGTGTTTCAAAGACAACAAATTTAATAGAATGGTCCACAGATTCTCCTGCTACAAATCTAATAGAAAACTTGTTTCATCGTTTAAAAATGTATATGAGAATGGGAAACAATATTTGACATTTCTGGAGAAACAGTAAAATCTGCTTTAAAATCAAAACAGGAAAAAAATTAAAATTCATTGGTAAAAGATTGCTGAAGGCTATAGAATATCAAGGAGCCCATATTAATGTATTCAGGTATATAGTGTATTAATCACTTTTTTTTTTTTTTTTTTTGTCTCTGCTTAATAACATTTTATGCATAGTTTATTAGCTGACTATTAATATATTTTAATAAGGACAGATAATAAGAACCAAAACTTATAAATTGCTTATATTAGTATAAGGATAGGCATCTCTCAGTTGCGTCTCTGTCTTTGGGCAGAGTGCACTCAGGGTCAACTCTGTCAAAGGACAGTCGCAACTGAGGAAAATTATACTGAGAGGTGCCTGACCTGGGGAACAGCTGCCCGAGGCCTCGCCTTCACCTTCTAATTGCACTAGAGAGAAGGATCAGAGCACACACCGAGTCCAGCACAACTGATGGTTGCGGGGGCTCAGAGAATTTTTGTTCCTTTCCCAGGTGTATGCACTCGTGCTCCCCACACAACCTGACCTCATGTGGGGGGGGGGGGTTGAGTAAATACAAATTAATATAAGGATAGGCTAAAAAGTTTTCCTGACATCAATTGCTTTATAATAATGTGTACCAAATAAAAATACTGGTAGAAATTTTCTTCAATCTACATCCTGCCACTGAACTTATTATGGCTGATTTATTGTTTTTAAAATAATTTTCTTCCCATCATGATTATTTGCTTCACATTTATTAAAGTGTCATAAAAATTCCAAACATAACATTTCTTTGAACTGACAACTGACTTATTTCTTGAGTTGAAACATTTTCACCAGCATAGCAGTTCCAAAACAACATTTTATATTTAATACAAAGGAGCATTACTTTTATTTTGAAAAACATTTACTTGCATGATAAATTCTAATTTACTCTGCCTGCCTGCACTTAGGATTGAGTTAATTGAGTCTTGCACTCTGACCGGACAGAACAGATGTACCTTTGAGGCTCATTGAGTTTTTTTTTTTTTTTTTTTTTTTTTTTTTTTAGGGTGGGGAATTTACACTGAAGGCAATGGTTACCATGGCATTAATGTTTGATTTAAAAATAAAAAGTACATAAGTAATCTTATGGTTGCCTATACCTAGTTTATTTACCACTTTATTTTAATTTTCTTTTTCTTTTCTTTTTTATGCTTCTGTGTCCTTTCAGGGCATAGGCAATCATTCCTCTCCACAGCTTCCTTTAATATGTATGAATTGCCATGTCTCCTTCAGATAAATAGTAGAGTGGTTTCCTGTTATCTTCTCCAGTTTGGAATTCAGTTGTACTCAACTGTCTGCAACCCAAGGCTAGGCAGTCCAGTCTCCTCTGCAATTTACCTATTTATAGTCAGGTGAAGAGATGAATTCATAGCTTTCCTCACGGATATTTGTGCAAAAGTGATTGCAACACACTCTGTTGAAAGTTGAACTAAGTGAGATGGTTTTGCTTTCCATGTTGATAATTATTTAATTTCTACACATCCTGACAGTTTATCAATACACAAATAAACTGTAATATTGTCTTTTATTTATTCATATTAAGTAAATAAACTATATCTCAAAAGAATAGTAGCTTGAAAGACTAATTACTTAAAACATTGGTCAAGAAATAATATAATAATAATAATAAAAAATGGCAAGTGTTTATTCCAACCTACAATTTGGGGTATTTTATGCCAATTATTTCTCTTTCTTGTATTTCAGATGTTCAGTCTCAAAATGTTCACAGTTTAATCAAACCTGCCACACTTCCTGATCCCACAAATAAGAATTCGTTTGATAAAGGTATCTGCAAGTTTTATTGATCAAACTTGATATATTATTGGTTTGAAGTTAATTATAAAGAGAGATTATATATTGGTATAAAAATTGAAAATGTTATCATTCTTCCTCTCCTAAACAAAACACTTTTGTATATGTATATTCTATGAAGTGACCACCTAAAATGTGAAAGTCTGTCTTTGGTATCTCTGTATGAAATAACATGTTAGTATTGTAGATTTTACAAAAATACAAATGCAACTTTTAATTTTGGCTTAAGAACTGCTCTTTGTGATATTAATACAGGTAGAAAGACAATATTAGTGGCAATGGCTTCATTATTTTCACTTTTGGCCTTCATTTTGTAATAATACTGGCAATTGTGGTCACGGCTGTTTAAAAGCCTTGTTTTTGTCATATAGGAAAATCCAACATGGCACGTAAACAAAATATTCGGCAAAAAATCTCATTCGTCAGTAACATTTTAAACACCTCATAGAATGTAAAGTTCTTAAAGAAAACCTATGCCAAAGTGTTTTCCTGAATCCTTGATGACTTGGCTGTCCGAAAATGATATCAAGATGAAATAATTGAAACTGACCATGAAAAATACAATTATGCGCAACAGGTTTTCAATCAATTAGTAAACTTCTGGACCTTTTAGGGCGACGTTATAGGATCCAGACGGCTATTGTTTGCACATGGAATTATTCACTGGTAATTAATTTTGATTTGGCTGTGGAAAATGTCACTCGGTGAGTTAGCATTAAGAAATTATGCCCAATTTTCTGAGAAAATTTTTTTTTTTTTTTTTTTTTTTTTTTATGAAAAAATATTTATTTTTACTTCAAAATAACATCATTCAAAATTCATTCCTTTCTCTTTCATTTGGCATGAACATCATTGAATAAAAGGAACGGCTAAATGGACCAGCGATGGGAAATACGAAAGATATGTGGCAAAAAAAAAAAACAGTCGTCTGCTAAGTGTTGTTGTCATTACCCAGGTCACGGGGTGTTAAAAACAAAACAAAACTCATCAAGCCATTGTTCGAACATAGGTTATATCAAGCCCTAGTAATGTTGAACCCTTTTTTTTTTTTTTTTTTTCACTCTTTGCTTTTATCTGGGAGTGGTGGGTTTTATTACAACTTGCTCTAAGGTTTACCGTTTATTGCTGGCTGACCTTTGACCTAGATGTCAAAGTCAATTAGGTTTAATTTTCCTTATCACTGCTATTTTTTGGAAAAAAAACTTTTGGTTTCTGGTGGTTAGGAATTGCAGATAAATCTTTTGCCTTTTACTAAAGATATCCATGGCCGGGTGTCAATTTTTTTTAACCCTTGGCAGTCATATAATTGAAAATTACCAATGGATTTTGTCGCATTTTGAACCCCTAGGAATGTTGATTTCCTTCAAAACTCTCAATTTTATGCCTGAAATAGTTTGATTTAGGCTTTCTGATTTTTAAAAAAAAAAAAAAAAAAAAATGGTTAATTTCCCATGAATGGGGGAAATATTTGTTTAGAACAAGAAAAAAATGCAAAATTTTCACTATTTTTTCACATTTTACCCACTGAAAAAAATTTTGAGTCATTTACACCAGTTAATTTTACTTTTAAATGAAAGAATATATCCTTTGCTTTCAGAAAATACCTAGTTTCATGGGGTTCAGATCAAAAGTTTCCTTGATTTTAGTTTAGGTGATGATATTGTCATTTTTCAATATTTTACCCCAATAAAAGTATGAAAATCCATTTTTTGAGAAAAAATTAGCTGTGACAAAATGACTTTTGCCATTTTTGTGATGATTTTCACTTGGGGAAAAAAAAATTTTACCATAGGAAACCTGAATTGACTTTATTTAAGTTCAGTGGGGCTATAGGAAACCTGAATTGACTTTATTTAAGTTCAGTGGGGCTATAGGAAACCTGAATTGACTTTATTTAAGTTCAGTGGGGCTATAGGAAACCTCAAACAACTGTGGTACAGTGCAGTTGCCATACTTAATATAAGAAGATACGTTTCAACAAATGTGATATATCCCAGTACAAAGTTGAGGTATTTGGAAAGCTAATGTTAATCTTGATGCTGTAGACAAGCAGTCTTCATAGCTTGTCTAACACTTTGCAAATACTTCAGTCTTATACAGGGCGTGATGGGTAAATTGTTGCCATTTTATATCTTTCATTTCACATATGCACATTGATTTTGATTTTGGCAACTGCAGAGTATAATAGGATCAATTGTGCACTGCCTGAGGAAAAAGAGCACCATGAGGCAATTCACTCTGCCACAAATTTGGAAATGGCATTCTGTACTGCTTCACATTTGCACAGGAAGTTTCAGTGCAAACATTTCAGAGTGTTTGGTGTCAATCTAATGACAGTGCAGAGGATTCGGAAAGAGTTGGATGAGTCTGATGGTGATTACGAAGGTACTGCAGCTCAGAAAAACTCACTTTGATCATTCTGATAAGAAAAGATCTCCTAAATTTGTTGGTGAGAGTCTTAGACTTAACACAGAGGTCTACATCAAGTGCCTTGTAGGGATAGTGCTGCCCTGAGTCAAGAGGCTGGCTGCTGGAAGACATTCTGTCAACAAGACTGCACCATGCCACACAAGCAAGAAAACCCAGTCATGACTGTCAGACAATTTCTGTGACCACATCACCCCTTACATATGGCCACCTAACTTCCCAGACTCAACCTTGATTATTATATACGGATGTGAGTTGAATTGTTGAGAACAAACAAAACACTTTTTAAAAATCAAAGATGAACTGAAGGCAAGATTGGCAACATTCACCAACGTAAACAAGGAGGCTGTCTAGAAGAGTTACAGGAGATCCCCAAGTCATCTTGAGACCCTGTTGAAAACCATAATAATAATTTTGTTGATTTTAATTTTTATTTACACTTTATTTCAAGACAATTTTCATTTAACTTTATTTCAAGACAATTTTCATTTAACTTTAAAACAATTTCATTTACACTTTATTTCAAACAATTTTCATTTATACTTTAAAGACAATTTTCATTTACTTTATTTCAAGATTTTATTTCAAGACAATTTTCATTTACACTTTATTTCAACAACAATTAAAATTTAATTTTATTTCAAGACAATTTTCATTTATACTTTATTTCAAGACAATTTTCATTTACACTTTTATTTCAAGAGAATTTCATTTACACTTTATTTCAAGACAATTTTCATTTTTTTACACTTTATTTCAATAATTTTCATTTACACTTTACAAGACAATTTTTCATTTACACTTTATTTCAAGACAATTTTCCTTTACATTTTATTTCAAGACAATTTTCATTTTACATTTATTTCAAGACAATTTTTCATTTACCTTTATTTCAAGACAATTTTCATTTACACTTTTATTTCAAGACAATTTTCATTTTACACTTTATTTCAAGACAACTTTTTTCAAGACAATTTTACACTTTATTTCAAGACAATTTTCATTTTTTTATTTCAAGACAATTTTCATTTAATTTTATTTCAAGACAATTTTCATTTAGCACTTTATTTCAAGACAATTTTATTTACACTTTATTTCAAGACAATTTTTCATTTACATTTTTATTTCATTTCAAGACAATTTTCATTTACACTTTATTTCAAGACAATTTTCATTTACACTTTTATTTCAAGACAATTTCATTTACACTTTATTTCAAGACAATTTTCATTTACACTTTATTTCAAGACAATTTTCATTTACACTTTATTTCAAGACAATTTTCATTTAACTTTATTTCAAGAAAATTTTCATTTACACTTTATTTCAAGACAATTTTCATTTACTTTATTTCAAGACAAATTTACACTTTATTTCAAGACAATTTTCATTTACTTTATTTCAAGACAATTTTTTCATTTCAAGACAATTTTCATTTAGAACTTTATTTCAAGACAATTTTCAACTTTATTTCAAGACAATTTTCATTTATTTCAAGACAATTTTATTTCAAGACAATTTTCATTTACATTTTTTTTTATTTCAAGACAACAATTTTCAATTTTTACACTTTATTTTCATTTACACTTTATTTCAAGACAAATTTTTTTTCAATTTTTCATTTACACTTTATTTCAAGACAATTTTATTTACACTTTATTTCAAGACAATTTTCATTTACACTTTATTTCAAGACAATTTTATTTACACTTTATTTCAAGACAATTTTCATTTACACTTTACAATTTTCATTTACACTTTATTTCAAGACAATTTTCATTTACACTTTATTTCAAGACAATTTTCATTTACACTTTATTTCAAGACAATTTTCATTTACACTTTATTTCAAGACAATTTTCATTTACACTTTATTTCAAGACAATTTTCATTTACACTTTATTTCAAGACAATTTTACTTTATTTCAAGACAATTTTCATTTTACACTTTATTTCAAGACAATTTTCACACTTTATTTTTTCTAATTTACACTTTATTTCAAGACAATTTTCATTTACACTTTATTTCAAGACAATTTTCATTTCATTTACAAGACAATTTTTTTTTCAAGACAATTTTCATTTACACTTTATTTCAAGACAATTTTTTTCACTTTATTTCAAGACAATTTTCATTTACACTTTATTTCAAGACAATTTTCATTTACACTTTATTTCAAGACAATTTTCATTTACACTTTATTTTAATTTTATTTACACTTTTATTTCAAGACAATTTTCATTTAGACTTTATTTCAAGACAATTTTCATTTTCATATTTTAAAGACAATTTTCATTTTTCATTTTATTTCAAGACAATTTTCATTTACACTTTATTTCAAGACAATTTTATTTCAAGACAATTTACACTTTATTTCAAGACAATTTTCATTTACACTTTATTTCAAGACAATTTTTTCATTTTACACTTTATTTCAAGACAATTTCATTTACTTTATTTCAAGACAATTTTCATTTACACTTTATTTCAAGACAATTTCTTTTATTTCAAGACAATTTTCATTTACACTTTATTTCAAGACAATTTTCATTTAATTTTCAAAGACAAATTTACACTTTATTTCAAGACAATTTTTCATTTTAAATTTCAAGACAATTTTCATTTTCTTTTCAATTTGAGACTTTATCAAGACAATTTTCATTTTTCTTTTTTCAAGACAATTTTTCATTTTAAATTTAGAAAATTTTCATTTACAATGACAATTTTCAATTTGTTTTAGAAGACAATTTCATTTACTTTATTTCAAGAAAATTTACACTTTATTTGGATTTTTTCATTTAATTTCATTTCAAGACAATTTTCATCACACTTTATTTCAAGACAATTTTCATTTCACTTTATTTCAAGACAATTTTCAACTTTATTTCAAGACAATTTTCATTTACACTTCACTTTTTCAAGACAATTTTCATTTTACACTTTATTTCAAGACAATTTTCATTTACACTTTATTTCAAGACAATTTTCATTTACACTTTATTTCAAGACAATTTTCATTTACACTTTATTTCAAGACAATTTTCATTTACACTTTATTTCAAGACAATTTTTCATTTTACACTTTATTTCAAGACTTTATTTCAAGAAATTTTCATTTTACACTTTATTTCAAGACAATTTTCATTTACACTTTATTTCAAGACAATTTTCATTTACACTTTATTTCAAGACAAATTTACACTTTATTTCAAGACAATTTTTCATTTACACTTTATTTCAAGACAATTTTTAATTTACACTTTATTTCAAGACAATTTTCATTTTTACTTTATTTTTTTTTTTATTTCAAGACAATTTTCCAATTTATTTCAAGACAATTTTCATTTTTTTATTTCAAGACAATTTTCATTTACACTTTATTTCAAGACAAATTTCATTTCTTTATTTCAAGACAATTTTTCAACTTTATTTCAAGACAATTTTTCATTTACACTTTATTTCAAGAACAATTTTCATTTACACTTTATTTCAAGACAATTTTCATTTCTTTATTTCAAGACAATTTTCATTTTACACTTTATTTCAAGACAATTTTCATTTTAGACTTTGAAATTTCAAGACAATTTTCATTTACACTTTATTTCAAGACAATAACTTTATTTCAAGACAAATTTTTTCCAATTTCAAGACAATTTTCATTTAACTTTATTTCAAGACAATTTTTTTCATTTTACACTTTATTTTTTTTTTACACTTTATTTCAAGACAATTTTCATTTACACTTTATTTCAAGACAATTTTGTGTAATTTTGGTAAATATATCTGTTAATTTGAGATATCAGTGTTATTTTCATTTTTGCAAAATTTAGATGACAATGAGTTAGAAGATGCTAATTAAAATATGTATGGACTATTAAGTTAGCATTTCCTGCATTTCACTACAAATGTCATACATGAAATCACACCTTCTTATAAAAATCTTGTCAATTCTATCCTTCTCTTTGGTGAAGATACTGCAGCTGTTGACTGACATAACAAAGGTTGACATACCTTTAATCTCAACAATTAAATCAACTGTTGACATCATCATGCTTTTGATAGCACTTAATGAATATACATAGAAATTAGGATATTTTTGTATAAGGTGACATTAACAAAATATCTCATCAGCAACTCCAAGAGAATCATTGCAAAGAATTGTGATCCCATTCATTACCAGAATAAGAATCCCTGAGATGAAGACGCCTCACTTCAAATAACTTATCACTTTTCCAACTTTGTAAATATTAGCTTTTTTCTTTTTCTTTTTTTTTTTTCTTTTTTTTTTTTTCTTTTTTTTTTTTTTTTTTTTTTTAAAGGAAAATTGTTGAATGTGAATAATCCTTTTTTGGTGTTTCATCTTAGATCAAGCAGAAAAGTCAGATGCCGACTCTTCATCTTCCAAGCCATGAAAGGAGACGCAAAAAGAGCCGTCTCTTCTGATAATACTACTAGTCGACTGGCAGGAGTTGAAGCAGGAAGTATCCTCTACTACAACTCCTGGGCAAAAACACCGGCCCTTTAGTAGGTAATGGAATTGAAAATCAGTTTTTTTTTCTTTTTGGGTTTTATTGAATGATATGAATTCTTCCTTGTCCCATTAAAAACCCCTTAACATAGAATATTTTTTCTCCTTTTTCACTTGTATCTCTACTTATTCCAGTTTTCTTGTCTATCATCATTCAACTCCCAAAATTTAAGACTTCCTCGTAATAAAAAAAAAAAAAAATACTATAAGCATGAAAGAATATCATGAACTCTTGATATTGTTAAATGTTGTTAATTCCAATTTCATTGGATATTTCATATTTTTGGTTTAATGCCTAAAAAACCTCTTTTATATTTTAAGTGCTAACATATCTCTAAATCTGTAGTCTGTAATTTAATGTGTTTTGAAGAATGTGATCAGAAATGTTTCTTTATTTCTGTTTGATCAGGATGTTCTCTTTGAGGATTTATTCATTTTCTCATAGTAATAAGATTTGTATTTTATGACAAGATTTCAAGATGACAGCTGATGGGATACAGATTTCAGTTTGTTTATTCTCAATAATTGAAATATTACTTTTATTTTCCTCGTCTCTTTCTATACAGTCATGAGGGCTGATTTAAAAAAAAAAAAAATAAATAAATAAATAAACCTGTGCAGTACATTGTTTTATATGCTTTCTATACATAGTGAAACCTGATAGTTATATAATGCAAACAAAAAACTTCTATCTCTGGTTAGAATTAAACCCAGATTAAGTCTTATTTTGCATGCTTTGTTTTTATTATCTGTCATAAATTGTCAGTTAAAATTATTTTATGGATTTGATTTAATGATTATTACAGTAAAGAAAATATCCTGGCTCAGTATTTATTTCTTTGCTTGTTTATCTCTACCATGGTAGAAAATAGTGGATTTTATTAAATAATCTTGCATTTCACATTTTGTATCATTCTTCCACAGTTGTTTCTCAGATTGTCAATCTGTGCAAACTTCTTTGCCATCCAAGTTCATTACAGTTCAACAATATTTGTACAATTGAGATTTATTTATATAAGAAATTTATTATATATTAACATACCTTTTTCTTTGCTCTTTCTTTTTTTCTTTTCTTTTTGTTCAAACAGTGAAATTTTATAATGATATTAATATATGTAGATGCCAAACTTCTCTCTCTCAGAACTCTGTTGCTATTTCCATGGAAAGTTCTTTGACAAACTACATTCCTTATTTTCGCCATGTCTAACCTTCATGGATAGGACCTGCCATGTCACTTACAGAGTAGTAAATCATCTACATTCCCTCCATATTCCATCAGCGAGAAGTAAGTTCCATTCGAATAGCTTCTTCCTGCAAACCACTGCTTTGTGAAACGGACTCCCAAGAGGATGTTTCCCCGATCACTACAATCTTAATGTGTTCCCCTCCTATCCATATAAACTACCCCTTAACATAACCCTCTACCTTGAGTGACCCACGGGCCTTGTACAGACTGAACTTTACTGTTTAAAAAGAAAGAAAGAAAAAAAGACTGCTTAGTATTTCTGAGATGAAATGCTCAATTATGAAAAGCAATATGAAATTGCAATCATAACCAAATGTGAAAACCATCTGACATTGAATATAAAAAGGCTCAAAAAAGACACCACTAATGTCCTTTAGAGGGCAGTGTTGTGGATATAGTGTGTGTTACTATCATCTAATGGCCATGAGCTCTACCCTTGGATCTGTTAATGAAGAATGAAAAACCGGGACAGGATATCACAATAACCAACATATATCCCAATCAGTGGACACCTGATTATGACCTGAGGATACTTGGTCGAAACATTGTGTGTCTATAACATCAAGATCAGCAAGAATCAGAAAAAAAAATCAGTTCCAAATAATACAAGAATATTCCTGTTGGTATTCATTAAAAAAAAAATTACTGATACTAAAATTATTAGACTATCCAAGTTTTTTTTTTTTTTTTTTTTTTTTGTCATCATTCATTTATTTATTTATTTATTTCAGACTCGGTGACAATAATGAAAATAAGCTGAATACTTCCAGTGCACCAGCTTCCATTGGAGTGAAAGAAAGTCCCGATGCTGGAGCAGCCTCTACTACTCCAAGCAGCAGTGGGGGAGAATTTGTATTTGGCACTAACTTGCACCGGCGTGTTAGGGTAAGGGCTTGATTATAAAAACGTTTGTCTGTCAATGATTATTTTAAAACAAATTTGTTACTCTTTCAATCTTAAAACTTTTACTCTCTCTTTATCTATTTCCATTTTTCTCTGATTATCCCACCCCCCACCCCACAAACTCCTATTTCTCAGGGAACATTTCTTTGGGCAAAGAATTTATCATTGTTTTTCTTTTCTTTCTTTTTTTCTTTTTCCTTTCTAGGGAATTGATGATAATTCCAAAAAGAGTAACAGTTGTTCTGGTTTTGTGTTTGGTGAGAAGCTTGCAGGTAGAATTGTGGCTGCTGACAAACCTTCCTCACCCCCCTCCTCAGATCACTGCCTTGCAAATTCAGGTGAAGGAGCCAACACTCCAGGTATGGAAACTTTGGTTCACACTTGTTCTCTTTTCCTAACTTTGAATTCGTTAGAAAGCATTCTTCATACAATTAGAGGTTTACTCAGCCAAATGAACATTCCTTCCATAATCAAATAGAAATTATTAGGTTGTTACATAAATTTGTTCATTTTTTTTTTTTTTTTTTTTTTTTTTCTATAATTTACTATATGACTTATTATTTATTAATATTTCTAATGAATCATTCAGCAATATATTCCCCTTCATTTTTTTACAACTGCCTGCCAATGACCTACTAACTGTTCAATGCCTCAACGATAGAAATTCCTAGCTTTCAACTCTAAAAATTCATCAGGCCACATTTTAAGCTCCACATTTTTGTTGAATGTAACCCCTCTTAAATTGTGAGAAAGTGGCTGAAAAAAGGGGATAGGCTGAATGGGCTAAATCAGAAGAATATAGTTGGGGTGACAGAACCTCCCAACTGGACTCTTTTAATTGATTGTTTGGTCTTGTTGGAAATGTGTGGGCAAGCATTGTCATATTAAATAATCCCACTCTATCACTGATCAGGGTTTTTTTTTTTTTTTCAGTTGAATTCCCTATTTAAACCTGATCATTTGTTCAACATACAGCTTACCATCGACAGAAAACTTATAGAACTTCAACCCATTTTTCAAGTGGGTGGTGAATTTGCTGACATATCTGATTCTGAGAGGAATATGACAGTTGAATCATTTAATCCAAATGATGATTTCTCTTTACTCTAGCTGAGATTGCTTACTTTGAATGTATTCTCCATTTTAAGAAAAAAAGTTTTCTTTCAGTGCTGATGACTCTCATTAAATGACAGCTGAGTGTCTTCATTGGTTGGTTGGGTGGGTGAGGTGGTAGTTTCTGCATTTTTCCCTGTTCAACAACTTTTTTTTTCTTTTTTCTTTTCATTAAAACTTGTATCTTCGACCTTTGCTGAATACTAAGTGGTGAGCCTCTTGAATAAAATCTTTTATCATTATACAAATATTTCTTTTAGTAAACTAAATATTTGTTTTTTTTTTTTTTTTTTTTTTTTTTTTTTCTTCCCCACCCAGATTTTAAATCAGTTGGCTTCAAAACAGGTCCAATTTTAACCACCTCCAGATTCAGTAAGTGTACATACATTTCCTCAATTTTCTTTTTGTCACCTAATTTTTTGGTTCTGTTGATCAACAAATCTAAAAAAAAAAAAAAAAAAAAGTAGTTAACTGTGGCAAGCAAAGTAACTGTTTTTATATTTGGGGAAATATTTGTTAAATTGCCAGTCTCCAAGCATAAATTTCTTTAACCTGAAAAATTTACTTCAGTAGACCAACTCTTCTGGAAGGGCTACTCAAGTAGGTGACAAAGAGAAGGGATGACAACTTGTAGTGTCTTGACAATTCCACTGCAACAGTCTATGGACAAAATCAACCTGCTTATATAGAGGTAACTCTGTATGGTTGGGCTGGAGTTAATTTGGTTATTTTAAAAAAATAAATAAATAAAAAAAATTATAATTTTTCAATCCTCTCTATATTTGTCTTGCCCCACCTCCAGGTTTTCATGTGCCTGCTACCAATCTTGGGTTGGGGTTATACTTACTACATCAGACAATATCTCCTCAGCCAATTCTTTCGTATTGTCTCATCAGATTTTTTTTTTTTTTCTTCTTTTCTTTCTTTCTTTATATCTGCCCATTTTCATGAATTACCTGCCCATCTCTGCAGAGATTAATGATCCATCATTTTGTCTATAAATAATTTGTCCAGATTTTATCTATCTAGTCCCTTTTGAATCCTGTGCTAATTTTGTTTCTGCAATTCTTATGAGATGTTAGTGTGACCCAGTACTTTCAAGAATAATTCTGTTTCTATTCGGCTTGTTTTATTTCTCTGAGTTTCTATCTTGAACATACAAACTTCTTTCTTGTTTACATATAAAATAGAAAAAACAGACCCCATGGTATTCCTGGTAGGCTAGTAAGCCCATGTTAATATTTAAAATAATAAACTAATAATTTCTTAAGGTACATGGAATACTTTGTGAATCAAACATGTTTTATTTCTTTTGTATTTATTAATCAATAATAATTCTTCTTGTATGTAGTTTATTTGCATCATATAAGTTAACACTAACAAAACAGGTCATAAATACTTTTAATAAATTACATATTATTAACTAAATGGTAATATTAGCTGTTTCCCTACAAGGAAACATTTTACATTTAACTGAGCAGCCAGTACTAGAGCTGTTATCACTCTTTCTAGTATTGATGGTGGTTTCCTTCCTAACCTTTTATTTGAAGTAGTGTGGAACAACAATATCTTGATTATATCATTATTTTCTCTTCACATGTGCTATTTTAGTTGTTACTACTGCTGGTAGTCCTCAAGTGATGTGGTTTCTGTTAGTTGGTACTTTTTTTTTTTTTTTTTTTTTTTTTTTGTGATTCTGTAGCACCAGTCAACAATGTTTGAAGAAGGATGATTTTTATGAAGACTCTCAGGCTTTACTCACTCAAAGACTTGTTTTAAGGTTAGCTGTATGGGAAATTCAAGAGAGGAAAAAAACGCAGATTGCTTTGGTTGTCATTATTACTTGAAGCTGTTGACCCATTTCTCTACAAGGAAACATTTAGTATTCATTGGCCGAGCAGCCAGTACTGCTTTTTATTAAAATTTATAAAAACCATTCCCTTAAAACAATTTTTTAGGAAAACAAGTTTCCCAAGTCCAATAGCTGTTATCGTTTGAAGAAAACCCCTTGAAGGAGTTTCCTTCTTAACCTTTTCACTCACCTTTTATATATTGCTTATCACATCTACAATTGAAAAGAACTTCTTTAAACTAAATATAAAATTTGTTACTATTACATCTAAAACAATAAAAGACTTGGTCAATACTAAACAAAACAATAAGCTAAAACTTGGAGGAATTTACTTGATTACCTGTAATAATTGCCACAAAAAATACATAGGAGAAACCTCAAGGAATCTAAAAAGATTATATGAACACAAAAGGGACATTTTACAAAACAATACATCAACTGCATTGGTTGCTCACCATAACAAGACTGACCACAATTTTGACATAAAAAAAAATACTTCTCTGATGATGAAAACGTCTTGATGTGCAAGGACATCCACAGTAAATCTATTCCTGGCAGATCTTCTATTATTACAGTATAGGATATTTACTAATAAAAGTGAAAAGCATCTAATGAAATTGGCTAGATTATCCAAAATAATAATAATAAAAAAAATTTAAATACAAAATTCCCAGCATTACTCCTTCCTGTGCATGTGTAGGTGCACTAACATAACAAATTTAATCTGATGAAGTCCCAAAGGTTAAAACATGTCACCTGAAAATTTTTATAATTCAGCATATTTTTCAGGCACACTGCGAAAACACACTCAGTAGGTAACTAGAGTTATGATATTCAATAAATCAAAAGTTCACATTACCTATCTGATTGACTGAGTTTCATATAGTCATCAGGACCAGATGTTCAATAAATAATTCATCAAATTAGTTATCAAATGAGCATTTTGATATCATCAAGTCGGTCAAATCAGACAAGTCTCTCAAATTTTTATTAATTTATTGAATATATCACTTGTATAAATATATCCTGAAAATATTTCCTAATATCAATTGGTTAATACCAATTTTATTTTGGAAACCTTGACTTACACAAAATGTCAGATTTTATTATGTAGATTTGTGCTTATGTTTATTGTGGCAGTGTCATAAAATCCTGTTTTCTTCAATATTTTCACAATCGTTTGCCTTTTACCAATACTTAGGTATGAGGCAGTACCTAATTTATATAAATTAATTTCCATCCCAACTCCAAAGTTGTCTTTTGTATATGTCCATAAGCCTTTATCCAAATCTTTAAAAAAAAAAAAAAACCTCCTTGAACTTGAAATTTTCCTGTTGCAATTGGTTACTGTTTGGTATGCAAACCTGATCCAACACAACCCATGTTGTTAGATATTTAGCTTAGTTTGGCACAAGGTCACTATTATGAAATACCTAGTGAAGATTGAACTCACTATTTAGTCAACCAGACTAATTTGCTAACCATTACCCTATGCTGAAGTGCCTGCATTTAAGACACGGTTGAGTCAGTTGTTTCTTTTGCTGCAACCAGTCAAGCGTATCTTTATTGCTCACTGAAAGGTTTCGTTTTGTAATTTATGATAAAGACCACATTCAACATGACAATGTTTTTCTTTAGGAATGAAAAATGCACAAGTAATTTTATGGTTTGTCTTTACCCATTTCATCTACCAGTTACTTTTTTAATTTTATGTTGTTTTTTATGTTATGTTCTTTCAGGATATAGGCAGTCACAGCTCTCCACAGTTTAATGTATATGACTTAAGTTAGTGGAGTAGTTTTTGAGTTTTCCTAGACTGATTAAAATTTAACTATTTATGATACAGAAAAAGGATACATATTTCCCTGTCTGAAAGTGAATGCAACAGACTAGGCCAGAATTTGTACTAAGTATGCTGATTCAATATTCGGTGCCAATAATTAATTCCTGAATGTACTGCCACTTTATTATGATACAAATAAATTTTAATATTATTGCATTTATTTCATTGTGTAAATATTTAATCTATTGAAAAGTCAGTCGGTTGAAAGACTAATTACTTTTAATGACTAAAAAATTGGTCAAGAAATAAAATATAAAGTGTTCTGAAAATTTTTTTTTTCACTCAACAATTTAAGGTATTTTATGCTGACTATTTGTCTTTTTTTTTCTTTTTTTTTTTATTTCAGATGTTCAGTCTCAAAATGTTCACAGTTTAATCAAACCTGCCACACTTCCTGACCCCACAAATAAGAATTCATTTGATAAAGGTACCTGGGAGGTTTATTCATCAAACTTGATATATTATGGGTTTGAAGTGAGTGAAACATGCTATTAAATCCCCAAGGGAGATTGACAAAAGACATACCATTGGAAATACCTTATTTGGGTACAAGTTGCACTATGGAAAGATGAACTGGCATGAATTAGGAATTATGGATATAGTAAAGGATAAAGTTAGAATTAATTGCAAAAGACATTTAATTCCAATATAGATTCACTTATAATCCAGGTCACACTCCTCTCTGGTCTTTTGAAAAGGCTCAGAGGTTTATCCCTAGTTTCCTGTTTAGGGTTGGATTTCCGGTTCCTTCTAAAGTCTGTTTCAGCTATATACTCTTAACATTTGTCCTTTCCTATGCTTATATTACTCCACACAGTAAACCTCTATCTTCAGTGACTTTTGGGTCTTGTATTGATTGAATATTAGTAAAATAAAAAAAAAAGAATTAGTACTAGGAATTGCCTGTGGTTGAACTCATGACTTAAAGATTTAACTTGTAGGATTAAGTGAAACTAAGAGCACACCTTATTCTCGGTTGTCACTAGAAAAATGTCAGCTCATAAATAAGCTGGTCTATATAGGTCAGATCTTGTTCAGAATTCAGTAATTGAATTTTGTTATCTTTTAATAGTATTATCTGCCTTGATTGTTTAGTTTAAGTATTTGGTGGGTGACTGGGGATGAAGTCAAAACTCTTCCCATGTTCCTGTTCATATGCACATCAGGAAATCAACTTGTAACCTGAGACCTGAAAGAAACCTGTTTTCCATAAATAGTGACTCACCACAAAATGAGTCAATCAGTCTTCCACAGGCACATTTCAAAAGTCAAACCAGCCATTCACTCAGCTAAAGTGATTTTTATCGTGTATCTCTAAGAAGAACATCTGTCTATATTTCAAAGATGAGGTATTGTAACTATTTACCCTATTTACATCATTCGGACTGTTGTGCTCATCTCTATTGGTATATTCACCAAGTTTCGGGTGTTGTACACACCGGCCTTCTTCAGGTGATGTGTGTCCCTAAGAACATGGGACCCAGTGAATAAGTGTTTGTTGAGTACTCCTAAAATGACTTGGCCCAAAGTTTAAGTTCAATACCTGGCCACATCAGAGGGAACAATAGATAGTAGATAGCAACTGATTATTGTGAGTATGCTACAAAATTGCATTCATATTCTTTACACAAACTTTTTTGAGCCAAGAATATTCACTCCTGCATCTTGTACCAAAATAAATTGATAAATTACTTTAGTAATCACTTGAGACCAACAAGACACTTTTATGAAGTGATATCAACAAAATATCTCATTAGCAACTCACAATCCTATTTACTATGAGAATAAGTATTCCTAAAATTGAGAAGACTTCTCATCAGATAACTTATCAACTTTCACAATTTGGTCAATTTCATCCTTTTTTTTTTTCTTTTTTTTTTTTGTTTTAGGAAAACTGTTGCAAATATATGTGAATAATCCTTTATTGTTTCTTCTTAGATCAAGCAGAAAAGTCAGATGCCGACTCTTCATCTTCCAAGCCATCGAGTGAGATGCCAAAAGAAGCCGTCTCTTCTGATAATACTACCAGTCGACTGGCAGGAGTTGAAGCAGGAAGTATCAGCTCTACTACAACTCCTGGGCAAAATGAGTCCAGCTCACCTTCAAAATTCTCATCACCGGCCTTTAGTAGGTAATGGAATTGAAAATCAGTTTTTTTTTTTTTTTTGGGTTTTTATTGAATGATATGAATTCTTCCTTGTCCCATTAAAAACCCCTTGACATAGAGTATTTTTTCTCCTTTTTCACTTGTATCTCTACTTATTCCAGTTATCTTGTCTATCATCATTCAACTCCCAAAATTTAAGACTCCCTAGTAATAAAAAAAAAATACTATGATCATGAAAGAATATCATATGGTTAAAATGTTTGACTTCCTATTTACAAGATAATTAAGAAAGCGAGTTCTTAAGGCCCAATGTATAAAATACTTTTTCATTTTACATGTTCTGTTTATTCATGATATATATATATATATATATATATATAGTTTAATACACAAAATATACATTCTCTAAATTTGAAGGCTTTATTTTTAAATTAACACAGTCTCTGGGTTACAATAGTCCTGACCTATGATGATTCATGGTTGCAGTGCAGTTTCTGGGACAACCTTTGCAAAGAATATGATAATACTAAATAAGAATTAAGTGAAAGTGGTAAAATCTACAGAGAAATAACATCAGAAAGTCAACTAGGGACAAAAACCTACATTATCATTTGGTCACTTTATTGAAATTATTAAATAATATTTTTGAAGAAAATTTGTAAAACTTGGCTTTCTGAAATGACAAGCTGCCCCCACTTCCATCATCATGTATGATAAGAAAAAGAATAAAACAAAGACAAAATTTGTTTGTCTTACCACCACTTTTTTTTATTATTAATATATCAAGCCAACTTCATAAACCTTGGTTTCTAAATACTGTAAACTGTATGTAGATAGTAGGTACGGAGGATGTATTAAAACATTACTGACTTCATCCTTCAATGTTTGTCAGATGTGTGTTTTATTAAAGGCAAACATAGTAACAAATTAAAATGGCAGTTGGCAAATCTGTTGGACGTCTTTTTTTTTTTCCTATTTCAAAATCACAATTTACATTTTCAAAGAAAATAAGCATGCATATATATATATATATATATATATATATATATATATGTAAGTTTTGTGGGGTGGGTTATATAACAGATGAGGGCTCTTACATGAATAGGTATCATGTATTTAATTTGAAGTTCACAAAATAAATGTGGTCAGTGACAGTCCAAGTTGAATTTTAATTTACTTTTTTATCTTTTTCAGACTAAGTGAAAGTAGTGAAAACAAAAAATTGAATACTTCTAATGCTCCAGCTTCCATTGGAGTGATAGAAAGTTCTGATGCTGGAGCAGCCTCCAGTACACCAAGCAGCAGTGGGGGAGAATTTGTATTTGGTACTAACTTGCACCGGCGTATTGTGGTAAGGGCTTGATTATTAAAATGTAAGAAATTTGCTGCTTGTATAAAAAATGCGTCTGTTTGTCACTGATTATTTTAAAACAAATTTGTTTCCCTTTTGAATCCTAAAACTTTTACTCTCTCTTTATCTATTTCCATTTTTCTCTAATTCCCCCCCCCACACACACACACACACAAACTCCTATTTCTCAGAACATTTCTTTGGGCAGAGAATTTATCATTATTATTTTTTTTTTTTTTCTTTTTCCCCTCTAGGGAATTGATGATAATTCCAAAAAGAGTAACAATTGTTCTGGTTTTGTGTTTGGTGAGAAGCTTGCAGGTAGAATTGTGGCTGCTGACAAACCTTCCTCACCCCCCTCCTCAGATCACTGCCTTGCAAATTCAGGTGAAGAAGCCAACACTCCAGGTATGGAAACTTTGGTTCACACTTGTTCTCTTTTCCTAACTTTGAATTCGTTAGAAAGCATTCTTCATACAATTGGGTTTACTCAACCAAATGAACATTCCTTCCATAATCAAATAGAAATTATTAGGTTGTTACATAAATTTTTTCATTTTTTTCTATAATTTACTATAAGACTTATTATTTATTAATATTTCTGATGAATCATTCAGCAATATATTCCCCTTCATTGTTTACAACCTCCTGCCAACGACCCACTAACTGTTCAATGCCTCAACAATAGAAATTCCTAGCTTTCAACTCTAAAAATTCATCAGGCCACATTTTTGTTGAATGTAACCCCTCTTAAATTGTGAGAAAGTGGCTGAAAAAAGGGGATAGGCTGAATGGGTTAAATCAGAAGAATATAGTTGGGGTGACAGAACCTCCCAACTGGACTCTTTTAATTGATTGTTTGGTCTTGTTGGAAATGTGTGGGCAAGCATTGTCATATTAAATAATCCCACTCTATCACTGATCAGGTTGTTTTTTTTTTTTTTTTTTTTTTTTCAGTTGAATTCTCTATTTAAACCTGATCATTTGTTCAACATACAGCTTAGCATTGACCTGACTGGATTTACTCATCATACATGGCATTCCTTCCATAATCAAATAGAAATTACAATATTTGATGGAACATAAGATATACTTTCTTCTCAAATATTAGAATTTCATAAACTTGTAATAAATGCATGAAAGGAAACTTGCCATTTTCAAGTTGGTGGTGAATTTGCTAATATGACTGACTCTTAGAGTAATATGAAAGTTGAATCATTTAATCCAAATAATAATTTCTCTATGCTCTCTTTCTCTCTAGTTGAGATTTACTTTGACTGTATTCACCATTAAAAAATAATATTTCTTTCAGTGCTGATAGTTACTATTAAATGACAGCTGAGTGTCTTGGTTGGTTGGGTGAGGTCGTTTGTACATCTTGACTGTTCAACAACTCTTTTTATATTCATTAAATCTTGTATTTGATTTATAATGTCTGTTGTTTGTGAAAGGAAGAGCGCTTCTTTTACTGATGGCTAAGTGTTGGTCCTCATTAATAAAATAGAAAATAAATCATTGTGCAAATATGTTTCCCTAAACTAAATGTTAATCTTTTTTTCTTTGCTCTCCAGATTTTAAATCCGTTGCCTTCAAAACAGGTCCACTTTTAACCAGCCCCAGATTCAGTAAGTGACCTCCCACATTTTTGTGTTTTGAAAGTGTGCTAAGATTATTTCTACGCAACTTTCCACTGTAGGCATTTTGAAAGCTTGTAGTTTATTTGTCAACAGTTAAGAGACAAGGAGTTGCAAAGGAGTTACTTTGGCAAAAGTAATGAAGTCAAATATAAAAAAAAAATTTTTTTCTTTTCTTTTTTTTTCTAAAATAATCATCTCAAAACTGAGTATTGTTTTTTTTTTTTTCTCTCTCTCTCTACATCAAATGGCAAATTTAGGTCAGTCTATCATATGATGACATAAGCTCACAATGATATAATAAATATTGAAATTATTTTAACTCTGGACAAAGATTAACAAGTAGGTAAGCCATATATTTGCTGTTAGATTGAATGATCCAAACTGAATAAAAAAAATTGAAATTATTAAATTATTTTACATTTATAGTCTGATTTTATTATATATTTTGTCCAGTTTTTCACAATGTAATATGCATCAAATTAATTTTTGTCTGAATTTACACTGTTATATTTGGAATATTGTCCTCCTCCTTTGTTGCACCTTAGGAAGGCCAGAGAGCATAACAGCCAAAACAATGTCATAACAACAAAGATGAGGACAATAGTCCAAAATATAAATAATGTAAATAAAATGTCAAAAAGTTTCAGAATATACTTAGAGGATAAATATAACGTGAATTCCAGCTTATTATGTCTATTAGAAATATTTGCAATTATTAGTTGATCTGAGATTTTATGCAAATCAAGGGTGTTTAATCAGATTACTATTGCGTTTCATGTTATCACTGGACCCCAACGCTACTGCATAGATGGTATTAGCTAAAAGATGGGTTCTTTCTCTGACTCATCTTATTAGAGGAGAGGGACAAATGTAGCAGCTTGGATTCTAAGAGGTAGCAAGAGGAACAGCTCCTATGGAATGAATGAAACTTGTTGGCTTAGCATCCCTTTGCACATGGTCTTAGCTTGTCTCTTGAACCTGGGTCTGGGAAGTATGTCAACAATTCCTGTGGCCCTCTGTTGAATTTGTTCCATTTTGCACTTGCATCAAAAACCCTGGCAATTCATCACTGTCAGAATACAATGGCCACCTGGTATTTTGACCAATCACTGACAATCCTGGCTCTGTCTTAAACTCTTACACATTCTGTAACATTACTAAGTGATGGGGACACAACATCAAAAATTGATCAGAGAATAATCAAAAAAGAAATTGGAAACATTGGCATCATGAAAACAAGAATAAACTCTTGTACAATGTTATAAAAATGATTTAAGAAAAAAGTGTATTGGTTAGTAATTTATATATATATATATATATATATATTTGAAGAAGCTAGTGTTGTGAATGTATGCAGATCAATAAGAACATTGGCTAAATAAATAAGCTACCACCTTTTAGCATTCAACATGCCCTGTAAATATTGACTCTCAATGTTCATCCTGCTGTAACCCACCACCCTATGTAGTATATGAAAACATAGTAAATAATGCAGAAAATCACACAGACAAACTTTGAGAGCCAATATTTACAGGGCATTTGTTGCTTTATGGAAATAATTAACCATTATTATTTCAACAACAACACTGAGAAGGTGGAGTGATGTTTTGTGATTGCATTATTGGTAGTAAAATCATTGGTCCCTTCAAAGTGCAATTATGGTGATAAGATAGATGCAAAAAGCAATTTGTATTATGTATACTTTTTTAGCTTCAAATTGTGACCTATACCCACTAGAGGTCACAACTTGAAGCTAAAAGTATATTTCGGCAAACTGTTGCTCCTTCACCTTCTGCAAACCTAACTATATCCCACATTACTGTTTAAAAAAAAAAAAATGATGGAAGGGAAGACTGCTAGTGTCTCCAGATGTAGATCCAATAGGTTTTGATGTCTCATTAAGAGAATGAAAAATTTTGATTAAAATTGGACAGGTAATACCAATTTTATTTTAAGAAACATTGACTTGCATAATAAAATCAGAGACACTTACAATATATTCAGTTATGTTTGTTGTGGCAGTGCCAGATGAAATCTTCTGTCGATACTTTCAAAACCAATTCCTTCTGGATGTAGCATCAACAATTGATGCAAATTAACTTTTCTAACAGAGATTTAGAGATTCTTGATAAAATCCAAAGAATCTGCAATGTTATTGGTCCTGACCTGGCATCTTGGCTTCAGTCTTTTTTCCCACTGCTGCAATGTAATTTCTCTGTCTTTTCTATAAATACTTTCATCATAATTGTTTTGATGAACTTTCCTCTATGGTAGCTAGACTTTACAAATTTAAGCACAGTATTAGATTTGCAGACAGGTCTCATTATCTTACAGTTGAAATGGCTAGATGTAACCATAAGTTCTATGCTTACAGTTTCTTTTATCGCATTTCTTGCTTGTGGAACTTCCTTCTGGCTTCTTGCTTACCAGTTAACTTTGATCTTCAAAAATTTAAATGCAATATCAATTGATATCTTCTGTCTTGATAATTCTTATTCATTTATTGTTGTCTCTCCTTAATAGTTTTTCTCATATTCTATAACACTCAGTAATCCCTTCCTTGCACCTTAGTGGCTTTATAGCCTTGCTTGGGGATGAAATGATTTAAAAAAAAAAAAAAAAAGCAAGCTACAAAGTTTTTTTTTGTACAGGAACATATCTTGTCTGAATATTCCGTGTATGAGAGAAGGAAAAAAAAAACCCCCTAAAACTCAATGTTCTTGTGGCAATCATTTGCCCACCACTGTTTAGCACTCCAGGCTTGACCCACAAAACTCATTGTTAATAGATACTAAACTTAGTTTTGCTTGACACAAGGCTACAAGTATGGAGCACTCAGTGGACTATTGATTTAACTCATTAGTCAATACACATCAACATTACATGCTCATTAATCATTGCCCTATGCTGAGGTGCCCGTACTTAACACATTGTTAAGTCAACTGAGTTTTGTGCAGATGAGTTTTGAGTCAGCTGTATCTTTGTTGCTTTTGTGACCCATATCAGGTAGCCATTAATTATAAAGTGCAACTTGAGACTTCAATGTTAAATAAACAGTATTTAATTACACTGCAAATAAATACGTAACATAAAGAAAGAAGTAAGAGTCAATCAAACTTGTTATTCAATTCAGTGAATACCTTCTTAGTAGCGCAGCTCTGCTTAACGTCTGATAGTCACTCAATCAAGAAACTAGTAATCAATTAGTAATCCACTTGTAATCAACACTCGTACTTAACTGATCATTGACTGCAGTCCAACCAATAGTCAACTCGTAGTCCACACTCGTACTCAACTAATCATCGACTACAGTATGACCAATAGTCAACTGCTGTCAGTAGCTTGACACCGCTATTTATACACCTGGCAGAAAAAAATGACAGTTTCCCACTGATGGTTTCTTTTCTTTTTTTTTTTTTTCTTTTTTTATAATCATTTTGTGATAATGTTGAATGCACTGATCATCGTGACAATGTTGTACTTCAAAGTGTAAAAAATATGCTAGTCATTTTATGGTTTTATCTATTACATTTTCCACTTTATTACTGTATAAGTAAATTGTATTGTCTTTATTTCTCTAATTCAGTAAATATTTTACCTGTATCAGAATATGGGTCCTTGGTTTGGTAGACAAATTGATTGCATTTTAATAACTAAAATTGGGCAAGTTTTTTTTTTTTTTTTTTTTTTTTTTTTTTGTATTTGCCCCAACCAACAATTTAGGATATTTAATGCCAACTGCTTATTTTTTTTGTGTGTATGTGTTTCAGATGTTCAGTCTCAAAACTTTCACAGTTTGATCAAGCCTGCCACACTTCCTGATCCCACAAATAAGAATTCATTTGATAAAGGTATCTGAGAAATTTATTCATCTGCTACCGAGTTTAAACATTTATTTACAAGTTGAAAATATTTCACTTTTCTTATATAACAAGTGGTTTATGACCTCTTCCACCCCCACAGTCAGACAAGACATGGGAAATTGCTAGATCACTGCATTGTCCAGTGTCAAAGTACTATCCTTATGTTTAAATATCTATATATCAAGGTACTATCCTTATGTTTAAATATCTAAACCCCCATCCCCCAGAACATCTTCCAAAATGTCCAGTAGGGATTAATGAATTGTGGTTGTTGCCTATGGGACAAATTGCTCTTGCTCCACTGTAAGAAATCAAAAAAAAAAAAAAAAAAAAAAACTTGATTTAACTGCAAATGAACTATTCTTTTAATTTTACCTCAAAAATAGTAATGCACCCAGCCTCACCCACAATTATTCTTTGGCTCGATGGCTGAGTGATTAGCAAGAGAAATATATCTTCGTTGAGGAGCAAACCCACTTAGTCAAGAAAAATGCTAAGCATGTGACTTGCTACAAGTCAATTTGAACTGATTGTTTTTATCTCTACAATTCAGAGGCTACTGAAGCTGTCAAAACAGGCCAAATAGATTTCTTTAGTTGTTCTTATTGCTCACCTATCAGATGGTTTTGTCAGTTCACTTCCTTCTGTATTGTTGGTCCAAATGTCACATGTGCATTTTTGTGAGGAGGACATTGTTGTTAAAGAGAGGGTGGTTTTCTCTTTCCTTCTTCTCTCAGTACAGAACATTAATTTCTGCCACGTTTTGTGAGCAGATTTTTCATTTGTATTATCTGAAGTTGATCATTTTTAGGTGCCTGTATTTCAGAAGTTTGGAGAATGATATATTGTTACACTTTGCTTTTTATTGTTGGCTGGAATTATCCAGGATATGTTAATTTCTCAAGTCATGGCACAATATTTTCTGCTGTATGCACGACAGTGGAGCCACTGGGATTTGAACAGCAACTACATTCATGCCAGGAGCCAGATAATAACTACCTAACAGCAACTATACCATCATTTAAATTAGACAATTGAAGCATTCTAGTATCATATTTCATACAGTTTCCAAAATCAAATAGCACAACTGTGTTTAACCATAACTTGGCAATCTGTTCTGAATACTTTGTGACACTTATAGTATTTTCTTAGGTAAGATCAGTATGAAAAGTGTTGAATAGTAATCGGAATTCTTTAACCAAATGCAACTGCTAACTCCTCAAGTCTAGTGGTGGGAAGGTTTGGCCAGGTGACCACAAAGTCCAAAAGACTATTTGCTTTTAAGGAGTTTTTCTTCAGCTATTTCCAATTTCAAATCCAGCAATATCCAAACTCAATTTATTGAATAAAATCAATTTTCTATATTAACTTTGGCACTTTATCATTTTTGTAGATGCTTTGAATAAAACTACCTTCAAAATCCTATTTCTTATGCTGAAAAAAATAGTAGTCTACATCTGATATTCTTGATAGTTCATGCTGTCACTCCTCTTTGGGGATAAGCCTATTTCACTTATGTATATGTATACTCTAGAAATGATACCATGGCCATCCAAAATGTTAGTTGAAATCATCCAAGAGGTTTTGTATCAACTCCAACCAACCCCAGCAATAATGATGATGAAGAAAAATGTATCACTTGAGTATTTTAGTCGTGTGTGTGTACACAAATAATATAGTGAGATAATATGACCATGATCAAGGTCTGTTCGGATCAGTAATCACAATGTGCATGGGTAGATGTCTAGTCAAATCAGTCACAACCTGCCCACAGGTATACAAGAGTTTTGGTATATTGATTTACAAATTGAAAATGTTTGACATTTCCTTTCCCACAAAAACTTGTGTACATGTATAATCTGTAAATGAATAGAATGAACACCCAAAATATTAGTTAAATTAGGCATCCATGTATAGAATGACCTGTAGATTTTACAAAAATACAAATGCACCTGCTTTCCTCTTTGCTGATTAAAACCTGAACTTCATGATATTAGGATAGATCAAAAGTTCTATCGGTTTAAATTTTGTAAGAACTTTGGTGTTTGGTGCTCTGTACAAGCTGCTACCCAAAAGTTCAAGGGATTTGAATAGATTGATCAGTCTTTCCATTAGTCAAATTACCTTGTGATTTCTAACTTTTACTGACCATATCACACACCTCCATGAAATTACAACATGAGAAGATCCTTATGAAATTACAACATGAGAAGATCCTTATGAAATTACAACATGAGAAGATCCTTATGAAATTACGACATGAGAAGATCCTTATGAAATTACGACATGAGAAGATCCTTATGAAATTACGACATGAGAAGATCCTTATGAAATTACAACATGAGAAGATTATGAAATTACGACATGAAATTACAACATGAGAAGATCCTTATGAAATTACAACATGAGAAGATCCTTATGAAATTACAACATGAGAAGATCCTTATGAAATTACAACATGAGAAGATCCTTATGAAATTACAACATGAGAAGATCCTTATGAAATTACAACATGAGAAGATCCTTATGAAAATTACAACATGAGAAGATCCTTATGAAATTACGACATGAGAAGATCCTTATGAAATTACGACATGAGAAGATCCTTATGAAATTACAACATGAGAAGATCCTTATGAAATTACAACATGAGAAGATCCTTATGAAATTACAACATGAGAAGATCCTTTTTTCATTTGCGCTTCCCTTCTCAAATGTTTTGGTAGCAATTTCTGATTTTACACTAGATTATATTTCTCTTTTGATGCTCTGCAAAGCATATTCTATTCTACAATGAATGTTGATTTCAATTTATGATGATTCTGTAGGTTTTTAAAAGATGCTTGTGAATATAAGTAAAAAAAATTTTTTTTTTTTTTTTTTTGCATTCATATTCTTTATATATTTTCGTATGTGCCAAGGGCATTCTCTCATGCATCTTGTATCAAAATAAATTGATAAATTACTTTAGTAATCACTTGAGAACAACAAGACACTTTCTATATGAAGTGATATCAACAAAATATTTCATCAGCAACTCCAAGAAACTCCTTGCTTGAATCACAATCCTATTTATTACGAGAATAAATATTCCTAAAATTGAGAACTTCTCATCAGATAACTTATCAACTTTTACAATTTGGTCAATATACGCTGTTTTTGATGTTTTAGGAAAATTCTTGTGAATAATCCTTTTTTTGTTGTTTCATTTTAGATCAAGCAGAAAAGTCAGATGCCGACTCTTCATCTTCCAAGCCATCGAGTGAGACGCCAAAAGAAGCCGTCTCTTCTGATAATACTACCAGTCGACTGGCAGGAGTTGAAGCAGGAAGTATCAGCTCTACTACAACTCCTGGGCAAAATGAGTCCAGCTCACCTTCAAAATTCTCATCATCGGCCTTTAGTAGGTAATGGAATTGAAAATCAGATTTATTTTCTCTTATAAAAGTTTATATTTTCTTGCCACCTTAAAATGTGAGGAAAATTTCTATGTCAGCTTGTTGCTTTGTTTGTTGTTTTTTTTTTTTTTGTTTTTAAAGGGATAAATAAAAGGCAATCTTTGCTGTATATTTGCAAGTATTAAATTTAATCTTTTTCTCTAGCACTTTTCTTTTCTCTGATCCGAATAAATACTACATAATATCCTGACCCTTTTATCTTTTTTCTCCCCCCAACCCTGCTCCCATATTCACCAAGTGAATTCATTAATACTGTGGTAATTCAAGCAATAATAATTGCCGTTTATCAGATCATTATTTCTACAATATAGTATCACTTTAAATGTTATTTTTAGTGGATACTTATGTTAGAAATAGATCCCATGTTTTTTTTTTTTATATTTTAAACAGTGTGTATTTATGTCTGTCGATCTGCACACTTGAGAAAACTTAAAATCTAAATCAATTCATTCTTTAGAAATTGCAGAGTTCTGTGTGTGCGTACACACACTACAGTTCAAAAGTTTGAGGTGACCCTTGGTAATTTTTTTTTTAAATTAGCACAAAAAAATAGTTGTTTTGTACTTAAGAGAAAATTATTATACTCTTTTTTTCTTTTTTTTTTTCTTCTTTTTTTTAAGTGAAACCTGATTCTTTTATTAGAAATTTTATTATGCCAAAAAGAAAAAATCATTTTATGATTAAATTTTGCTCTCCCAGAATATTCTTTAATTTTGATTACTGCAGAACACACCTTTGGCATTCATTGCAAAAGTTTCTCAAAGTTTAAGTTTGGTAATTGATGTCATTCTTCTTTTTTTAAAGAGTACTTTCATTTTTTGGGTGAAAAAGTTTCACTCTTCTGTCAAGTTCATTCCATGCTAATTCAGGTGGGGGGGAATTAACTGTAGTGTGTGTCTCAGTCAGTGAAATTGATTGTAATTTTTCAGCAGGTAGTCTTGGTTTAAATTATATAAAAGAAAATGACTTTTTTCTTTAATCCGTATAACCCCATGCAAGGCAGTAGAGCCACTATGACACAAGGTGTTACTGGGTACAGAAGAATTCAGAATAGAAACCTTAATGAGTGGGAAGGAGAAATAACAATCAGCAGGACAGTAGATAGCAAATTAACATTGCATTTAAATTTTTGTATATTAAAGTTGGCTAGAAAACAAGCAAGAAGTATGAAAAAAAAAAACTTAGCATAAAATGTATGGTTACATCTAGCCAGCTCAACTGTAAATTGATATTCTCAATGCCAGTTTAGTATTGTGCTTAAATTCAAAAATTCTAGGTACTATAGTGAAGAGTTCATCAACAATTACAATGAAAGTATTTATAGAAAAGACAGAGGCAACTTTACATTGGTGGGATATATATATATATATATATATATATGTGTGTGTGTGTGTGATTAATACAACTATAAAATTTGGCATTTAGCTGATTGATGTTACCTTGTAGAATTTTGTAAATGGACCCTCCAGCAATCGATCCATTCACTCATCAGGGTATATTAGCAATTGATTTTTTATTTTCTCATTTTTCTTTTATATTGCATTAAAAAATAATTTACAAACTTTTCATTGTTGCACGGTTGAGTTTTTGTTTTTAACACTCTAATTGAAAACCTAAAAACGTACTCTGTTCATGCTAATGTGATTTTTTTTTTTTTTTTTTTTTTTTAGCTCCAGTCTACCTAATGCTCCATCTTCCCTTGGCGTGAAAGAAAGTTCTGATGGTGGGACAGCTTCCACTACTCCGAGCAGCAGCGGGGGAGAGTTTTTGTTTGGAACTAACTTGCACCAACGAGTTGTAGTAAGTACTTGGTTATTATATTAATTGGTTTCTATCATCATTAAAAGAATTTGTTTTATAATTTACCTAATTTATGTTCTATAATTTACCTAAATGTTTGGTTTCTTAGGATCACAAATTTACTAATTCTTATTGTAATGACTAGAATAAATATTAAATGAGTTGTTAACACATTTGCTTCTGACAAAATTGATGTTGATTATTTGTATGAAGTAAAACTTCACTTTGAATAAAAAGAAATAAAATAACTAATATTGCCTTATAGATTCATGTAATTTGATAAAATGAATTTTGTTTATAACTTTGTCTTTCTGAACTTCTAGGGAATTGATGAGAATTCTAAAAAGAGCAACAATTGTTCTGGTTTTGTGTTTGGCGAGAATCTTGCAAACAGGGTTGTGGCTGCAGATAAACCCTCTCCTTCCCCAACATCAGATCCTCGCCTTACAAACTCAGGTGAAGAAGTTGGCACCCCAGGTATGGAAACTTGTAAACAACAAAAAAAAAATTTTTAATTTTGTATTTAAAGGTTTACTTTGTTGTGACTTAGAAATTTATTTTCATCCACTTCAAGAAAAAGTTAAATTCACTACAATCATTTACATGACACACACTGACATGCAGTCATTTAAAAAAAAAGACTATATATGCTCCAGGCACTAGTCTGCCTTGCTTTAAAGTACTTTGTAAAAACAGCCAAAGAAATAAAATAAATAAAAAAAATTAAAAAGAAAAAGGTCATATTATTTTAAAATATTTTTTGCCTATTGCTCAAACTTTAAATAATTGTCTTTGGTCTTATTTGCAAATTTAAAAAAAAACAAGGAATAGCAGTTTTCATTATGGTGGTTAATTACAAGTACTTTTGATGACGATATTAGCCATTTCCTTATAAGGAAACGTTCAACATTCATTAACCAAGCAGTTCATGCTACTGTTGATGAGAATTTATAAGATCTCTCTTAAAACAATTTTTCAGGAAAATAGATGTTTCAAGCCCACTGTTATGACGCTTTCCAGTATTGATATGGGGCTTCCTTCCTAACCTTTTGTTTGAAGTTATGTGGAACGTCAACATCTTGATATTTTTTTAATTTTTTTTCTCTTCTCGTTACATGTGCTATCCATTTTAGTTGTTGCTGATGTTGAAAGTTCTCAAGTGGTTTGGTTTTGTTTCGTTTCTGTTGTTTGTGATTCTATAGCATCCTTCCACAAGGTAGGAAGAAGTATGCTCCTCACTGATACCTGCGTTTCATTTACTCAAAGCCATTTTTAACAATTGATCTGGGAAAGTGGTTCTATACAGTTAGCAGTTTAGATATCTCTTAATGGATTTGGTGGTATGCATGACAATCCATATTAAAGTTTGAATCTGACAAGGCTATTTAAGAACATAACTAATGTTTTGTAGCAATTTACAGTGTTGGGCAAAAATATCTCTAGCACAACCTATTCTATGCTCTGTTTCCTTATATTCTATACTAACTTTGTTAAAACTAATCAATACACTGAGGTATTTGAAGTGTTTGGTATTTATTTAATACATATCCTTATTTTTTTTATAATGGATTTAGGATACATGCCATCACTGCTTTCATTTCAATTTCAGATCATAGTTTCCGTTTTCAAAAGATTTACCTTGAATCTTATTTCTTGGAAGACTTGGTAGAGAATATTGTGTTTTTTTTTGTTTATGATTATTCTTATCGTAATTATGAATACATATATTGTCGGCATAATCATCATTATCATCAGTAGATTAGTGTCTCTGAGGGAAAGCAGGATCACTATCTTCTATTAGTAGATTGGAATGTGGGATGGGATACTTAAATGCACATCTCTGCTTGTATATATGCAAGAGCATTGTCTTAAAAAAAAAAAAAATGTTTAAATAGACTGCAGTTCTCATATGGTCTTTGTCATACTCCTGATTAGGTGTGAAATGTTTCTGTATTGAGGTCCTTGCCAGACATGTATAATTTTGCGAAATGGTATTGTTCCTATGTTAGATAAATGCATTCAGTGGAGTATGAAAGATAGTTTCTAATGGATGACAAGAGGAAGTATCTTTCTCTATTGATATAGTCATATGCTGCTGTGAGGTCAACATAACAGGTATACAATTTTTTTTTATCAATTTACCTCCAAGCAAGGTAATAATGCCACTAAGACAAAACTGCGTCCCTCTTTCCTGGTGTAACTGCCATCTGATGCGGCATGCTTTGACCGCTTATCTACAAAGGGCTTCAAAATCAAGCAAGGTTCTATTTTGCGTTGAGTGAGAGTGTGCAAAATTTAGGTGGATATGAACAGTACATATAAACCCACTCTCTACAGGGTGCAATGGATAAATTGTCATCTAAATAATGCAAAAATGAAAAACACCGATATCTCATTTTAACAGATATATTTACCAAAATTACACAAAAACATATTTAAAAACTAAAGAGTAAGTTTATTCAGACAACTTAGGAATCTCCTGCATCTCTTCTGGATAGTCTCCTTGTTTAAGTTAATGCTACAATAATCCTTGCCTTCAGTTCATCTTTGGTGTTACAAAGAGTTTTGTTGGTCTCTCGCTTAACTGCACCACACATATAATAAAGGGGCTTGCAGTCTCGGGAGTTAGAGGGGTGATGGGGTCGCAGAAATTGTCTGACAGCCATGACTAGATTCTCCTGCTTGTGTGACATGGTGCGGAGTCCGGTTGCCAGACATTGGATCTTCCAGTAGCCAGCCTTTTTACCCAGGACATCACTACCTCTTCAAGGAACTTTATGTAGGCCTCCATGTTGAGTCTGAATCCCTCATCAACTAATTCAGGAATTCTTTTTTTATCCAATTCTTTCCAAATCCTCTGCACTGCCCTCAGATTGACACCCAAACACTCTCTAATATTTGTATTAGAGCTTCCGGCATAAATACCAAACATTACAGCATGCTGTTTCCAAATTTCTGGTGAAGGGAATTGCATCATGGTAGTCTTTTCTCACAGTGTCTAATTGATCCAACTATACAGTGTATGTGCAAAACTTAAAAATTATAAAATAGCGACAATTTACCCATCGCACCCGGTCCATGATTTTGCTTCTCGTTTTTGTGAGTCGGTTTATCCATATCAACGAGGGCAACTTTAAAGGAGACTATGAAAACAAGGTGTTAAAATACATCATCATCATCTACTACCCCAGACTTTTGACCAGCACCTTGTGAGTCCATGGCAGTGTATATGTCCTTGTTAGTTGAGAGTTTAGGCAACTTGAGGCATAGAATAATTTCTTAATTTAAAAAAAAAAAAAAAGCTTGATAAGGAAATGTATTTTCTGGCAGGGATAATTTCAAGAAATATGACAATGTCATATGTAACTTGACACTTGAAGAGATTTATCAATTTGATCACATTCCCAAAAATTTTCATTCATACTTTATATGTTCATATTTTAAGTTTTCATGTGTGTATTTGTAATTGTTTCATTTTTCATTTATTCTTTCTTTTTTTTTCTTTCTTTTCTTTCCAGAAAAACAGTGTCAATCTCTAGAGGAGTCAGCACGAGAATACCAGGCCAAGCATGGTGTGCGGCCAGAGTACAAAGAAATTGAGGTAAAGACAGGAGAAGAAGATGAATCAAATGTATTACAGGTAATGACTGATTTGGCTTTCATCTCTAAAACGTTCCTGCACTTCTCTTATAATCTCAGCTGTTTTTTTTTTCTCTCGCCTATCTTTTCCCCTCCATCTCTCTCATGATCTTTTTTGGCTTTTTCCACATTCCCTTTATCAACATCCTTTCCACCATCCCTTTTCTCTAAATCTCCATAGCAGCTATTTCTTGATTCTGATTTTAGCTTTCCATTTTTGTATCTGTTATACATTTAACAATATTTTTCCCCATATATATATATATATATATATATATATAAATATGGGGTTATTATGTATGCATGGCTGAGTGGTTAGAACGTTCGCTTTCTGACCACAAGGCCCGGGTTCAACCCTCACTGTGGTTGATTTGTCAGGAAGGCGACTTCCTGATGTTATTGGATTGGATCAAGGTTGATCCCAGTGTGTGTGACACCTTTGGAAAGTGCCTGAAAACCATACCATAGGTTGACCCAAGCCATGTGAGGTAAACAGAAGTCTTGTGAGCCATTGATAGCTGTGCTAGCACAAAGCCACAAGTCATCATGGCTGAGGGCTTGAATGTGCTGGTCTTGTTCAAACTGTTGATCACACTAGATAACTCTCTCTCTCTCTATATATATATATATATATATATATATATATATATATATATATATATATATATATATATATATCTCTCTCTATATATATATATATATATATATATATATATATATATATATATCTCTCTATATATATCTCTATATCTATATATATATATATATATATATATATATATATATCCGTCCTCTCTCTCTCTCTCAGAAACTGTAACCAAGGTCTGCTCAGCATAGTTGTAGTATAAATAACAGGTGGGCTCTGAGTATTGAGCAAACACAAATGAGCTCATGTGAGCATCTGCAATAGGGATTGGCTAGCTTAGGTACCTCCACGAAATCGCTAAAAAAAAAAAGAGCATCGCTTGATGAAAAAGATGCCAACCTTACCGAAAACAAAATTTTATTGTCTAAATGCTTATGTTATTATTAAGAGGAAAGACCAAAGTTTTTATTTTTAAAAAATTTTCCTTCTTTTTAGAACATTCTAAATTTTGATAAAAAAAAAAAAAAATTGTTTCTATTTGTATCAGTGGAACTAGTAAGTAACATAGACAATTTTTAGCACGTTTTTTTGGTATGGCACACATTAATTTGAAAAATCATGCAAAAATAGAAATAATTGTCGGATGTTAATGAAACTTTCAGGAACTATTCACAGATGATCGAATTATTATAAATATGTTTGTTTTTTTTTTTTTTTTTATTAAAATCATGGTAGAAATATTTTTTTAAATATTTATTCCCCCCCCCCCTTAACTAATTTTATGAAAATGCTAGAAATTGATCAAAGATCGGGTTTAGTGATTACATTAATTTGGCTTTGAGGAATGCAAATCATTTTTTTTTTTTTTTTTTTTAATTGGATCTGCAGTACCTGAAAATCAGCTCTGAATTGTAACATACAAAACTTAATAAAACAAAGATATTATTTAATTTCAAATGCTTTTATTTGCTTTTAGTTGTTTTTATGAATATGGACAATATTTTCTGAAAGCAAAAAATTTTTTTCAATGAAAAATGAATTTTTAATACACTTATTTGTTATTTCTTTAATTATAATAGATTTTACATTTAAGTTGTTAAAATATTATAAAATTAGTTAAAAGCTGCATCAGCTTTCCTCAGTGTCCTTATGAGATGGATCCTTTTTAGCGCATTGTAAATTGTATCATTTTGACTAATCAGAAGATCTGCAGTAGTTAAGAAATGTAATTTTGTGCTTATAACCGGGCTGTAATTATAAAGTACGGAAGACCAACCAGAATATAATTAAGTTGCATTATTTGAGTTAAGCATTGTTCTCCTCTGTTAAGGCCTTTACTTTTTATGGAACACGTGGAGAAGTTAATTTGATTTTTCAATTTCAACTGAGAAGGGTACCTACAAGTATCAGTATCATCTTATGAAATTTATATGATCTTATTTTTATATTAATCTCAGTTATGACATTTTTCCATAAATGAAATATCAAAATTAATAATAAAATGAATGCAAATACAAATAACAGTAAAATGTAATAAATGTACATAAAATTATAGTATTTTATGTACACTTCTGATAAAATTTCATAAGAAAGGTACCTATAAATTAATTAGATACCTTTCTTAGGAAATATGAAATTTAATGTCACTCTTAACAGTCCTATTTTAATTTCTTTAGAATATATTTTCCATAAAGCATCATAAACGTAAAGGTGAAAGCTAAGGACAAAAAAAAAAAAATTAGACCGCTGAAAGTTTTTGTTAAAAATAACGAGGTAAATAATTTGTTCACTTAAATGTAAATTATTTCACTTTTCTCCTTCCGTAGAACAAATTAGTCTCATGGAATTCGTAAATATGTCATTCATCACCTGTTAAGAGACGCGAAAGTTTATGACCTGCTTTGTTTTATATTCAAATTACATCTTTTTGGCACAAAAGCTAAGTTTGGTTCAAAATATTTTAAATAAACATTATAATTTCTGATTTTCTTAAAATAAGTTTTGAAAAAAATGATAATTGATATTTAAAAGAATTTCAAAGTCAGATTTCCATTTTTTTTTTTTTTTTTTTTTTTTTTAAATGGAAAAATATGTTTAATTTTGCTGACTCAAAAAAAACTAGATTTTTAACAAATTTCAGACGTACTAGGAACAATTGAAAAATCGGAAAAAAATACCCCCAAAATACTTTGATCTTTCCTCTTAATAATAACAAACATTTAGACAATAAAATTTTGTTTTCATCAAGTTTACGCGTCTTTTTCATCAGGCTATACTTTTTTTTTTTTTTTTTTTTTTTTTTTTTTTTTTTTAGCGATCTCGTGGAGGTACCTAGGTTAGCTGCTCTAGTAGATGGGTATTCTTGAATACAAGTGGCCAACTATATATATATATATATATATATACACACACACACCCTCCAATTTTTTTCCCTTCTCAAACTACCTTTCTATTCCACGTCCTTTTTTCATATTTTTATTGTTTTCTCTCTTGGCATTCTTTAATTCATCTACCATTGTTTATTTCACTCTCTACCATTGTTTATTCTAACTACTCTCTACCATTGTTTATTCTTACTCTCTACCATTGTTTATTCCATTGTTTATTCTAACTACCGTTTCACTACCATTGTTTATTCTAACTACTCTCTCTACCATTGTTTATTCTAACTACTCTCTACCATTGTTTATTCTAACTACTCTCACCATTGTTTATTCTAACTTCTCTCTACAGTTGTTTATTCTAACTACCATTGTTTATTCTAACTTCTCTCACCGTTGTTTATTCTCTCTACCATTGTTTATTCTAACTACTCTCGTTGTTTACCATTGTTTATTCTAACGTTGTTTACTCTCTACCATTGTTTATTCTAACTCTCTACCGTTGTTTATTCTCACCATTGTTTATTCTAACTACTCACGTTGTTTATTCTAACTCTCTCTACCATTGTTTATTCTAACTACTCTCTACCATTGTTTATTCTAACGTTGTTTATTCTAACTTCACCATTGTTTATTCTAACGTTGTTTATTCTCTCTCTACCATTGTTTATTCTAACGTTGTTTATTCTCTACCATTGTTTATTCTAACTACGTTGTTTATTCTACCATTGTTTATTCTAACTACTCTCTACCATTGTTTATTCTAACTACTCTCTCGTTATTTATTCTAACTACCATTGTTTATTCTAACTACTCTTGTTTACCATTGTTTATTCTACCATTGTTTATTCTTCTCTCTACCGTTTGTTTATTCTCTACCATTGTTTATTCTAACTACTCTCTACCATTGTTTATTCTAACTACTCTCTACCATTGTTTATTCTAACTACTCTCTACCATTGTTTATTCTAACTACTCTCTACCATTGTTTATTCTAACTACTCTCTACCATTGTTTATTCTAACTACTCTCTACCATTGTTTATTCTAACTACTCTCTACCATTGTTTATTCTAACTCTACCGTTGTTTATTCTAACTACCATTGTTTATTCTAACTACTCTCTACCATTGTTTATTCTAACTACTCTCTACCATTGTTTATTCTAACTACTCTCTACCATTGTTTATTCTAACTACTCTCTACCATTGTTTATTCTAACTACTCTCTACCATTGTTTATTCTAACGAATTGTTTATTCTCTCTACCATTGTTTATTCTAACTACTCTCTACCATTGTTTATTCTAACTGTTTCTTCACCATTGTTTATTCTAACTCACTCTCTACCATTGTTTATTCTAACAGATTTATTTATTTCTCTACCATTGTTTATTCTAACTACTCTCACCATTGTTTATTCTAACTACTCTCTACCATTGTTTATTCTAACTCTCTCTCTACGTTGTTTACCATTGTTTATTCTAACTTCTCTCTACCATTGTTTATTCTAACTACTCTCTACCATTGTTTATTCTAACCATTGTTTATTCTAACTACTCTCTACCATTGTTTATTCTAACTCTCTACAGTTGTTTATTCTAACTACCATTGTTTATTCTAAACTCTACGTTGTTTATTCTCTACCATTGTTTATTCTAACTCTCTACCATTGTTTATTCTAACTACCATTGTTTATTCTAACTACCGTTGTTTATTCTACCATTGTTTATTCTTATTCTAATTCTATTCTAGATTGTTTTTCACCATTGTTTATTCTAAATCACCATTGTTTATTCTAACTCTACCGTTGTTTATTCTAACTACTCTCTACCGTTGTTTATTCTAACTACTCTCTACCGTTGTTTATTCTAACTACTCTCTACCGTTGTTTATTCTAACTACTCTCTACCGTTGTTTATTCTAACTACTCTCTACCGTTGTTTATTCTACCATTGTTTATTCTAACTCTCTCGTTGTTTATTCTACCATTGTTTATTCTAACTACTCTCTACCATTGTTTATTCTAATATATGTTTATCCTCGTTGCTCTCTCATTGTTTTTTGCAACACACCGTTGTTTTTTAATATTTACTCTCTACTGTTGTTTTCCTCATTTTTACAACAATTTTTAATATTTTCAATTTTTCCTGCCAAATTTATCTCCATTTCTTTTTTTTTTTTTTTTTGTTTGTCCCTGATAGTGCAAATGCAAATTATTTGTATTTGATAAACCATCTCAAATGTGGATTGAACGAGGATGTGGTGTTCTGCGATTAAATGATTTAGTAGGAAATGATTCTGAAAAATTCCAGTCTCGAATAGGTGAGTTCTCTGTTCAAATTTTTGTTATTTTTATTTAGTGCTGTTGATTTAAAAGCCCTTTTTATATTTGCCACTGAACAGATGCATTGATCAAAATTATATGATCAGTAACCTAGCAGTGCTATTCACTAGAAATGAACCAAAAATTCTTAAATATTGGCAGTGAGTAGAGACTTAAAATTCAAATGTTTTTTTTTGGGGGGGGTACATGTTTTTATGAAATCCTTTTTACAAAAGTCATTTACCATTGCAATATATAATAATATTTTTATTTATTTATTTTTTAAGTTTTTAAAAACAAAAATCATGCATTTTCAGTGACCAGTTTCACTATATATAGGGGAATTTTTAGGGGTGGTAAAATTCATGCCAAAATATTCAGGGATCAAATTATACACAAAATCAACTTATACACAAGTATATATAGTATTAAATATTACCAGTGGTGAAATGTTCCAGTATTAAAATAAATCTAATTAGTCTCATGTGTATTTAACACAGTTGCTAAGTAGTTCTTTTCTGTTTTATCAACACTCCTATTGAGTTTTCTCTCTTCCAAATTGCAGAATAAAAATCCTTCTAATTTCTGTCCTTCAACAATGATCACTAACCAAAGATAGCCAGCAATTAGTGAGAAAGCAAGGTGCCTTTACTTATCCTCTCTCTTTTCCTAGCTATCTTGATTAAAGTCTAAATTACTTATTAGAACTTACATATATGATCTGGCAGGTAATTGAGTACAGATTACCAAGTAAAAGAAATACCTTCAATAGAAATAAAATATTTTTATTTTTTTTTTTTTTTTTTTAATTGTGCATATTTTAATTTACAAAAAAAAAAAAAGTGATCCACTAAAGGACAGTCTTGATATAGCCTCAGAGTATGCCTGGGTCATTTATGTTGGCCAGCATGTTCATAATGGCAGCCTTCCAAAACCAAGTCTTTGGTATTCTGTGGTCACTGGTTGGTCTCCCTGTCATCAACACTTCAGACATAATTGCCTGGGGTGTTCAAATCAGAAGATCTAGAAGGGCCCCATTTTGAGAGGTGGCATGTTTGTGAAAATTCCTTGGCCATCCACTCCTAGTTCATATTAGCCAACTTGTTGTAGGCATTACTATTGACTTTGGTGCCCTGCAGTAAACTCTTGTGACATGACATGATTTTTGTTGTTCACAATCTTCAGATAATGTGAACTTGGTGTGTATTATCACCATGGGTGCCTCTAGTATTGTTGTTATTTCCTATGTCAGATTAGAAGATGGGTGTAAATGTTTCAGCACTCTTTTTGAAAACTATTTTTGTGTGTGTTTTTATGAAATCCTTTTACAAAAGTTATTTACCGACTTTGCCAATTTGAACTCTCAGATTACAAACGTAATGAAATTTTATTATAAATGGCAATTCTTTGATTGAAATCTCTTCATTTCTTTTTCTCTCAGTAATGCGGTCTCAGGGCAGTTTACGTGTTATACTCAATACCAAAATCTGGACTGGTATGACAGTAGAAAGAGCAAGTCAGAAAACCGTTCGTATTACTGCTGCAGATGGAGATGGTATAAAAGTTTTCCTCATTGTTGTAAGTAGTTATCATATCATTGCTGCCTGCATTTATTTATAATGTCATTCTATTTGAAGACAACTTTTGTTTCCTAAATTTGAAAAGCTGCAAATTTTTTTGTTGTATAAATTCACAAGTTATAAAGCTTAAATCTGAATAGATAAAATTAATGACAAGGTTTTAATATTAAATTGATTTGAACATTTTTTTTTTTTTGTGAAAACATTTCCAGGATTTCTTTACAGTATCTTCACATTCAAAGAGTTGTTAACAATAAAAAAAATATATATATATTTGTGTTATGTTGGTAAGATTTTAAAAAATTACTCAATCCTAAATACAACATACACACTCTGCAAGTACCAATAAAAATGACTGGATTATTTTGGTAAGGTTTTGGAAACTGGGTTTCATTTTACTGTTGAAATAGATGTGACTGTAAGTTCTAACACTTCTTGTCTGTGAAATTCTCTTCTTGCTTTCCTATCAACAAAGATCTTCAAAAATTTAAATGCAACATCAATCGCCATCTTTTGTCTTTGTGAAACTCATGCTTTTATTGTCCTTTCTCCTCGCTAACATTTTTCTTTCACCCTTTCATCTTATTGGCTTTATAGCCTTACTTGGGATGAAATGATTTTTTTCTTAAAATCGATCAGAATATTCCCCCCAATCCTCTGCTGAGAATCAGTGTAGTATCTGTGCTCTGTAATCTAAACATCACTTTCCAGCATTTCCACCTTTGATCATTCAAATATCTTTGTGCTCTGTGAAAATGCTACTCAAATGCACATGACATGCTGAAATGTTCTCAGCCTGACTTCTGGTGCTTGAGCACAATAATACCGATTTTGGGAAGTGATTCATGCCATCATATATTAGACTGAATGATTTTTATCTGGGTCTGGAGCACTGACAATTTTATGACAACAGTAAAATCAAGCTATGAGAGTGTCAAATCAATCACCCACTGTCCATAGGTATGGAAATATAAATGAATTATATAGTCAAAAACTTTAGTGATCAAGTGATGCTCAGCTGGGAGATAGGGATTTCTAGTTGTGGACTTATATAGTCAAGCTACATTCTACATAGTGGCAGTCATAGTTAGTGCTCAGAAAAGCAGTCACACACTGTCCATTGAGATGTAGAGATGGACAATGAGAGTGATAGTTGCAATCAGAGATAGAAAAAGAGGCTGGAGTTCTTGCTGACTGAAGGTAAAATCTGGTCTGTTAGTCTGTCTCAAGTATTTCACCCTAAGCAAGGCAATAAAGTCAATAAGATGCAAGAGCTTACTGAATGTAAGAGAATATGAGAAAGATTAACAGAAGAGAGAACAATAAATAAATGGGAATTAAGAAACAGAAGATAAAGATTGACATTGCATTTAAATTTTTGAAGATCAAATTTGACTGGAAAGCAAGAGGCCCAAAAAGATTACCACAAATGTACTTGAAAAATTTTTATTACATTACATAGTGGTCATTGTATTATTAATGTTTAAATATCAATTTCCCCATTTTCATGAAATCTTAAGTTGTTCAAGTAATTAATTTTGTCTTGTTTTTCTTTCATCTTATTTTTATTGCTTTTTATAAAGATGAAAGAAAAACCAAAAATAACTTTCCTCATATCTCCAGGACCATTTAAAATATTTCTTCAGCCCATTTTCAAGCTTAAGGGTCCCACATTGAGAATTACTATTTTTTTTTTTTCTCTCTCTGTCATTCATTTGCCTAACATTGTTCTGATATATAAAAGACTAATGTATACGATTCTCTCATATTATCAATGTAGAAAAACATCAAATATAGAAACACCTTTGTAAGTCTTCTATTCATTGAATATTCAAGTAATTTTTTTGATAAGCTGCCAAAGATGAAAGTAAAGTCAAAAATAACTTTCCTCGTGTAAGGGTAGTACATCATAATTTTGAAAATGAAAGCTAAGTTAATAATTTAAAAAGTTCTTCATTGTTATTATTTGGTATTGACAGGCTAATCCTAAAGACAGTGATAACATTCTTCGAGCCATTGACTGGAGAATTCAGCAATTAAAGACTGAAGAAGAAGAGGAGGAGGAGCAAGTGAAACAACGAGGCACAGAAAAAAGGAAATCAGAATCTCAGGATTGGATCTCTCCAAACAAGAAACTCAAGTAAGTTAATTCCTGCAGTAACTTAAAAATCAGTTTATTTTAAAACAAACGCATGATAATCGTGTTATATCCCAGGCTGCTGGGATGAACAAAAATAGATGAAAATAAGACAAGTGTATTTTAACACATAAACAACTTTTATTCATTCACTTTCTGAGAACAGCAAGGATTTGTTTGATTTGAAACAATGAATTCCATGTGCATGTCTGCTTGTAGCCATGTTCAATTCAGAAGTGGCACACTCCTCTTCAAAGACAAGGGAAGTAACTCAATTATATTTTGAGCTATTGTTCTTTATAGGGCAAGGAAATTAGCTTCCTCTAACAGAAAGGAAGATTTAACCTCATGCTGTTGATACAACAACTATAAATAAACAATTATGTACCAATTATAAACAAACTATAAATAGATTCTGTTCAACATTGTTTATCTTATACATTTATAAGTTGACAATGAGTGGGTGGTGTAATGAATAATGGCTCAGAATTGTTAATTGGAGAACAGTTCCAAGTCTTGTTGGGTTTGTTATATTCACTTGCATGCAAATACCCTTAGGAAAGATATGAATCCATCTCTTCCACCCCCATCTATAGGTCAATTAATAAAACTTGTATCACTAAACCATTATCTTAAAAAAAAAAAAAAAAAAAAAACTTACAATCTCAATATTTTCTGGCTTTAAAAATAACCTGCAAAAGGTCGAAAATCTAGAAAATGAATCAATTAGTATAAGTCTACCCTTCATCCATGCATTGAATATTGCTGTCACATCTGGTTAAATGTTTTTGCTATGTATTTAGGGATTCTTGATAGATTGCAAAGAATCATCTGCAATATTATTGGTCTTGACCTGGCATCTCAGCTTAAGTCATTTTCCCACCACCATAATACAGCTTTCCTGTGCCTTTTCTATACATTGGTAATTGTTCTGATGAGCTTTCTCTTTGGTACCTTTACAAATTTAAACTTATCACTAGACTGGTGCAAGGTCTCATTATCTAAGAGTTAAAATGGCTAGATGTAACCGTAAGTTATATGATAATTGTTTCTTCTCTTGCACTTATTTGTGTAACTCTCTGGCTTCTTGCTTCTTTGTATAAAAGGTTTAATTCTGTTTTGTTATAATAAGCAGCCTAGCAACAATTAGCTCTTTCTGTTGAATTAAAATTTAATAGGTCTTAAGGTTAAATCACCAATAACTTGAAACCCTTATGGTCTAAATACAATTTACTGTAATTTCCAGGAAAACACACTTGTTGCTAGCATACGGAGCACCCCATAGTGGGAACCGAAATTTAGTTACAAACAACGAAAGGCCCCAGCCATAAATAAACTCCAACCCCCAGACTACTTCCCTCATAATGAGATACCTCATGCCCTCCCACAATCACCAACACAAGCCCCTTATCATAAACAAGGTCTCTCTCTGAGGAGGACTGATATTGAAAATAAATTCAAATCCCCACTTCCATACAAACACTTTAGAGCTGAAGACTGTTGGGTTCAGACCAGCTTAAAATAGACTATACTCATGTTGAGGTAATTTGGGTTTTTGCTGGATCTATTGCCTGTACTAATATATATATATATATATATATATATATATATATATATATATATATATATATATATCTCCATTACTTTGGTTGCAGAAAATGTTGCAAAATAATTGCTTATCACTTGTAAACTGCATTACTAAAATCTAAAATTTCAGAAAGATTTGCTGATACAAAGCAAAAATCTTGAGTTTTGAAAGTACTGTACTTGAAGTGATTGAAACTTAATATTGATATGTGGATCTGTGTCAAAAATACAAAACATCATGGTATTATTTTTTAAATGAACAAAATAATCATTTGTATAAAAATATTGCATTCTGTATGAATTTTAAAAAAATAATTATTTTTTTTTTTCTCTCTGCTAAACCAGGAAACTTCCTGAATTAAGTGCCAGCATATCTTCAGGAGAATCGAAATCTGTTTCCAAAGAAGAATCAGATAGCAGTGTTCTTGATCCAGAAACAGAAGGTGAGAACATCTACCAGTCATTCAATTTGAATTGTACATTTCAGTAAAGTTTCTATGGATCTAACAAGGAATTCAAAATAATTTTTATCCTTGTAAAATTCCTAATAACTGCATTGCTTAATTTTTTTTTTTTTAATAACTGAGTACTACTTTCTGACTTTTTTTATGGTAGATGCAGCAATTTTAACTTTTAATGTTATTTATACTTGCTCATACATTTCATGAATTTTTTTAAAAACCAACTTTTTACTTCATTTCTTTTTTCTTTTTTTTTTCCTTTCTCTCTCGGTTGTAACAAGCAAGAATAAATATAAATTTTTCACTTTGCTGTTGATAGCCTGTAACCCCATTTGGAATTTGAATAATATATTTTATTTATTTTAACATTAATTGTAGTAAGCTAAGCTTTCTACAGAATCAGATTTGTTCAGTGGTTCTAATATGACAACCCCACAGACCTCTGCCGTATTATGAATGCACCACCAAAAAAAAGTTTCTCATTGTCACTAAGTTTGAAGGTCACAGTTTTCATGTCACACTTGCAAAATTTGCAACAATATTCAATGTTAACATTGTGAACAGACTTTATTTTTTGGCTTACAGCCATATCACATTGAAACAACAGTACAATCGCCAAAGTTAAGCAATGTTAAGCCTGGTCAGTATCTGGATGAGTGACTGCTTGTGAATACCAGGTGCTGTAAGCTTGGATGTGCAGTTGGTGTAACAGATAATGGCTCAGAACTGGAAATCAGAGAGCTTAGTTCCAATTCCATTCAGGTTCATTATATTTACATATGCACAAATACCCTTGGGAAAGGTATGAATCCACTTCTCCAGTTGGCTTATATATTAAAAAAAATCTACTGAATGGAAGCTTTTATTTTCAACTAGTTTACCAATCTCAAAAGGGAATAAGCCTTGTACTTGTAAAGTGTCACAAACATTCTGAATTGTCCATTTTAGATTCAATAATTACGGAATATTAAAAAATAATTTTATTCACACCTTGTATTACTAGGTTATTTCAGACGAATCCACTACATAGAGATGGACAAATTGCTTGCATACACAAATGCCTCTAAAACAATAGCGGGTTATCAATCAGGGGAGGAAATAATCCCCACCCAGGGCATTTCAGTGGTTTATAGGGTGGGGTCTTTTTGTGTTTCTTTTTATTTTTATATATATATATATATATATATATATATATATATATATATATATATATAAATTACAATATCCTGGGATTTTATTGAAGTATGCTTCAGTTTATTTAATAATTAATTATGAATTAAAACAAATTACTGTAAATGTATATATACTGATATGGAGAAGAATGAAGATTTTCCATACATGTATTATTTGGAATCTACATTTTGAGTTGAACATTCTAACTTATGATAAAAAAGGGTGCATTGGGCAAAAGAGGTTGAAAACTGTTGTTTTATAAAGAGTAATTCAATATCTATAACAATAATACTGAATCAGGTATATATGAAACAAACTGTCACATTTGCTCTTCACAATACATTGAGAAAACTTTCAGAAAAGTATTTAGGAACAGAAAAAGGATCTTATACATAACAATTTATTAAATGCATTAGTCATACGTAAAAATAAGTTCAACCACAACTTAAATCTAAAGAATGCCACTCTTATTAAGAGAAAGTAACTTACCTAGATGGAAAATTCTTGAGAGTGCTGTTATTGAATCTTACCAAAATATAAATCTACACTCTGGATTTTTTTCAAATATCAACTTTCCTAAATGAGATACCTCTTTCCCAAACCAACATACATGACAATAAAAAAAATTAAGAGAAAACTGTTAAATCAAACATTAAATTTTCAAACTAAGATAATATAAATAATAATTACATTATGAAAAAAAAAAAATTCATCGCTTTATAGGATTTTTAGACTAAGTCCTTATTTATGGGATTTTTTTTTTTTTATCCACCCCAAGAAAGACAATAATGGCACTAAGATGCAAGAGGCTACTGGGTGTGAAAGAGAATGAAAAGACTTTAGAAGGAATCAAAGACCCAATCTTAAACAGGAAAAACAAGGGGTAAACCTCTACTTCAGTTCAAAAGACAAGGGAGGTGTGTGAACCTGGCGATAGGCAAACCTATCTACGCATATTGAGAAAAAAAAAATAGATAAATAGCAAATAAAGTTTCAGCATTTAGGAGACGTTTAGAAATATAGATTTAAAATTTGAAGTAGACTTTAGAGGAACCATAAATCCAATCCTAAATAAGGGATAAGCCTCTAATCCTATTCAAAATGTGTCAAGGAGTTGGGTTGTTTTTGCTTGTATTTTCTCACATATATACAGTGTGTCCACAGTCATTAGACAAATAGAAAACATTACAACTTATACTCTTAATACATTTACATAATATGAATTAAATAGTGAAGTTTATCTACAAAAAGTTAATAAATTTCTGTATAAGCCCAATTTGTTTCACAAAGGGCATTTAAGCTTTATTCACTTTCTATCCACCTAATTCTTTAATTACTGTCTAAAACATAAAAACATTAATAAAACGTAATATCATTAAAAGAACTTGTAATATTAATATGGAACAAAATTTTGTTGCTACCTCTTCTAAGTTTTTCTTAATGACTTTTTGAAATTGTGTAAAGTCTTTGTGAACGCCCTGTATTATTCCAACAAGAACATTATTTTAGTCTGAAGTGCTTTTAAGAAACAAAACCATTAGATAGATTTTGTTTCTATTTTTGTCATTGTTACCTAATCTTAACATCCACATATTTGCTTTTGTTAGAAATGGTCGCATATATTCAGATCTTTTGCTTGTTATGTCATCTTTACAGCAATTAAAAAAACAAATCATTTTGACAAGTAATAATCAACTCTTTCTCCAATTTTTTTTTTTTTTTTTTTTTTTTTATATATAATCTTTCTTATATGAAAGAACATTTTCTTTAATCTTGAAATAACTGTATCAGTTTTTTCTCTAAATTCATATTTTTTATTTATTTCAGCTTCAAATGAAAGCTATACCTCATCCCAAACAGTCAGGTCAGAATCTGACTAAGTCGCACAATTGAAGATGGGCTAAAACAAGAAGGAAAAAAAAAAACTGTTTCACTGTGTAACACCCACTCATTACCAAGTGGGTATTTTGTGGGCATTAACACAAAAATGGCCCTAATATTGGATATTCACCAATCATTTGAATGGGCTCTGAGAAAAGAGAACATCATTGTGAAGCCTGTTTTTAAAGCAACAGTTGGGGTGGGGGTGTTGTGTGTAAGTGAAATTGTTTGTATGTGTGTTGGCATACAGTTCTCTTATGGAAATGATGAGTGATTTCAAATGCATGTGTTCACAAGAGCATGCTCCATTGTGTTGGTATATGTATGTAAGTGTGTGTGTGTGATCTTGCCCACAAGTCTATTTGTCTTTATTACAAATCCTGACAGTAGTGAGAAACAAATTTTATGGTTTGGTGGGGACAGGAGTTATAAAAAAAAAATGAAAATGACTCATTTGGAGAGAAGGAGCCAGATGATGTTTTTTTGGTTGGGTCATTTGCCAATGTTTCTTTACCTGTTGGCAAGCAATTTTTTTTTTCTTTCTTTTTGACTTCTGGGATAACAAGTAGGTGCAGAGAAAGCATTTTTGTGTCATAGGATTTAATTTTGGATTGGGTGACAATAGAATGATGGATAAACAATGTAAGAAGTGCAAATGTGAAGAGTGCAAATAATCAAAATAGATCACATTTTATGAACAAGAGGTGTGTATATGAAGAACATATATAAAGGAAACACTAAAAAGAATGGACTGACACATACACACACAAATATCAAAATATGCATGCAGGTTTTTTTTTTTTTTTTTCTCTCCAACATTTAACATAAGAAAAATGTCTTTGTCATTCCTAACTTTATAAGCATTTTTATTTCTCATTTATAGAGAAAAGCCAAAAATGAAAATCTTTTTTTTTTTTTTTTTTTTTTTTTCAGAATGTAACAGTGTGCATATATTTGTGTGATGTATGTACATGCTTGTGTATACATGTGCATATTTTGTGTGTGTGTGTGTCCTTCAGTTATTACAAGGGGAGAAAGCTTTCTTTTTGAGATACATAAGCTAAAAATTGGGGAAAAAAAAAATAAACAAAAAACTTTTCAAGTCTCAATATTTGGACAGTGTGTACATAAATGTGCATTTAGGAAAAACACATCAAAATGAAATAGAAAAGAAAACAAAAGCATTTTCTCTTGCAATATAATGATTGTTGTTTAACCTCTTCAGTTTATTTGTACATTTTTCTTTCTTTTCATTTTTTTTCTTTCCTATTTTTATGTGATTTTGTTTTTCTTGACTCTTTTATATTATTGATGATAAAAATCATGAAAAAAAAAAAAAAAAAAAATGGGTCCCAAATTTGGTCAGGGCAAATTTTTTTTTTTTTTTTTTTTTTTCTTAACCTCTCATTCTCCATTGTCCTTTCACTTGAATACCTCTATTTTTATTTTTTTTATTTTTTTTTTTTTTTTTTCATTCCTTTTTTTTCCTTCGTTTCACTCCTCCTTTACTTTCTCACATCTCTCTGCCTCCTTAACATCTTCAGGCTTGACCATTAATGACATACTTGCATTTAATCTTTGGTCCCACCCTCTGGATTTAATAACTAGTAAGTTTCATGCCTTCTTTGGTTTAATTAGTTCCTCCTAAACTTGGATGCTGAAACTATTTAACCCATTAGTGCATGGTGTCCAATGTTTTAGACAGGGTGTTACCTAAAATTTAAAATCTGCCAGCCCTAAGATTACCATTAGCCAGCAAGATAGATCAGAAAAGAGCTGAGATTTTAAGGAAAATTTATGCTGTAATAGACTAATTTCATTATTATTATTATTAGTAGTAGTATTGAATATCTGATAAAACTGGCCTGAGGTGAGCTTGTAATTTAATTTTGAAAAAGTCATGCAACCTTAAATTATTAGATGACTTTTCAAAATCCAGAGGGTGGTTTCAAATCTATGGCCGTGTGTGTATTATATATATATATATATATATATATATATATATACACACACACACACAAAAGAAAGATGCTAATGTTTTTCTTTTTCTAAATATTTTGTACTAAAGTGCATCATTTTGAGGCTTCCCAGCTGATTTTGGTCACCATAAAAATAACTTGATTCTTATGCAAAGGGCTTTTTTGTTTCTTTTTTTTAGATTGACATAGATTGTAATCAGGATTAAGAACTTGATTTCATAAAAAAAAAACAGATTCTTTGATAAGTTATACCATGCTGATATGACACACAACACATTATATAAAAAATTAGTGCCTTTGAGATTTGAATCACATGCCTGTTTTTAATAATTGTAAATTTTTGAAAAGGTCAGAAGGTGGCTAGGAATTTCTTGTACCATGCTCAAAGGTCACCTGAAAATTTTGAAAGCAAAAGTGTTCAATTTCTTTAAAGTTGCTTGATTGAACTTTGAGAAATATAATTTCTGAAACTTTGCATGTCTTGATTTCAGTTCAAATCCAAGCTGGTAAATCCGTATTGTTGGTAATTTTCTAAATTTTGCTTTTTTAACAAATCATCTAATATCTTAAAATTTGGAAGCAAATTTTAAAGCTTGAAAAATATGAAGATGTGTTGAATAAGTTATTAGGTGTTAAGAAGAAAAAATTTGGCCCTCTATACAAATCTGACATTTTAAAGGTTTCTTTTTTTTTTTTTTTTTTTCCTCTTTCATATTGGCTAAAATTTATGATTATTAATAACCTGAAATATTTGGATCAATCAGACTGCATTATAATTAACTGGAAAGATTTTAATAGATTTAAGAGGAAAACGTTAATTACTTGTCATTGTTCTATCCACAAAATTAAAAGTTCAAATCTAAGGGATTTGCTAATTTCATATAAGATCATTGTAGCCTAATTGTTCTAAATGAAGATGTTTACTTTGTGTGTAAACCACCATGTAATTTCTGATGCAATTTGATCATGATACCTTCTAAAATCCTGTTTCCTAATAGATATGTGAGAATGAGTTTACCCAAATAAGGCTGATCTTTACATCATCAGCATTAAGGATCTTGTAGATATACAAGTTGCTCTTTTTTTTATATCAGTGCATCTTCAAAGTTGTCCTCAGTACCTGTATCCCTTTGTCCCCAGGTTCATATCGATATGCCTACCATAGAAATTTAAAACCTTTGCCTAGTGCTTCTGGGTGTTAATTTCATTATTAACTCTTTAGCATTGAACACGTTCAAATCTACCCGGTAAATATTGGCTCTCAAATTCTTACTGCTTCCTGATTTCCTGTGTTATTTGTGATGAGGTTGTCCTACATTATGGCAGAGTATACATGGGGTGGGTTGAATATTGAGAGCCAATGTTTACGGGGGCATGTTTGGATGGATTGCATGCTAAAGAGTTAATGTGCCTATCAAAGCACTCTTTCAACTGTTTTGCATATAGTATATACATATGACTTCTTCAGAGATGGAGCTGTAATTCAGTGGCAATTTCTCCTGCTGGTTTTGAATGAATCAATTATAAAATTTCAGGGTTAATCTGGAATTGGAATGAAAGAAGTGATGGCATCTACCCTGAGTCCATCATAAAAATTAAGAATGTGGATTTAGTAAATACCAAACATTTCAAATACCTTTTGTATTGAACTTATAAGGAACCCAAATAGGCCATTGTGACAAGAAGTGTTGAATTAACCCTTTAACATTTGACATACTCGAACCTGCCCTGTAAATATTGGCTCTTAAAGTCTCAATTGCAAAGTACCTATCCCATGGAGCAAAACGGATTGGTCACCCAGCAACCAGCTATGTCATGACACAGTATGCCACCCTAATGACCTTACAATCTTGATACAGGACAGTGATGGTTGGCATGATACACTTGTGAATGTCCAAGCTAGCTTGACTGAATAAATAAAGACATGGGGCAGGTTTGAATATTAAAGGTTTAATGTACCTATCAAAAAACTCTTTCAACTGTTTTGCATATAGTATATATGTTCAGAGGTGGAGCTGTAATTCAGTGGTAATTTCTACTGGTTTTGAATGTATTCATTATAATCCCAACCGAAAAGAAAACTACTTAAGGACATTTACTAAACTTGCTCAATTCACTGCAAAAGTTACTAGTCTCCAAGACTTGTACAAGACGGTGGGGGGGGGGGTGCCTTTTGTAAATGTAGAATGTTACTGCAGCTATGGCTGTCTGTTTAGAGTATTTGTGAAAACGGTTTATTTTCATTGGAATTACTGTGCTTGGGGGATATATGGCCACAAACTAATTTCAATGTGTTAACCTCTTTTAAGTAGAGGTCATTTCGGTACTTGAAAACTTCACAATGCACTTACTAAATTGGTCTTTGCTACTATTACTAAGTAGTGTTCCGTATTAAACTAGTGTTGCCAGTCACATGACAGTGTTTTAGTGCTGGGAATATACTTTTGCCATTGTGGGTAATGTCCAGTTTAGTCATTTTTTTTTTTTTTTTTTTTTTTTTTTTTTTTTTTTTTTTTTTTTTTTTTTTGGTCATCCATACTTCAGCTGTCCCCTGAGACGCTTGTCAACTGAAACAGGCTTTCATCACATGTGGGTAAGGAAAGCTAAAGACAGCATGACATATTTTGGGTGTTAGAAGGCAACAGACATTATATATTCTGGGAATATATAATATACTGGATCCTGTATGAATAATGTTGATTATGTTCGTCATAAGAAGAAAACTCAATGAAAAGTGAAGTATAAAGATGTTGAGTTTCTGTGTCCAATTCATTTCATTGCTATGATTGAAGGAATTAAAAAAGACTTATGCCATTTGCAGTCCTTCTAAATACATACATCGGTAAGTCTGTAACCTGATTTACAAAATAAACATTTATTTTACACAAGATTTAATCTCCAGTCTTGTCAATGCACCTAATTCACAGATAAATATTAATCGCATCAGTCAAAGAGTAAAGAGTTCAGATGAAAATTCAATTAACGACTACATATCAGGCTATAGACTTATTGATCCACTCTCAATTATCTCTCAAAGTCTGTAATTCCATTATTTTTAAAAGTAAATAAGTTTGTCGTATTCTTTCATAAAAGCTAATAATGGCTGGCTGCTTGTTTTGAAATGCACTCATCAGCTCGGGTGACTCGTTAATCCCCTGTATATTTGTTAACCATTAAAACAGCTTTTCCGTTTTTTTTTGTTTGTTTTTTTACCACAGGTGGTTACTAATTACAAGCCCAAGTATCTTCATCGAATAGTATATATCTATGTAAGGAGTGGGCTCTTATGTGGCTGATTGGTATGAACCATGATACTCCAACCATAAGATCCAAGTTCAAATTCCATCAGGGTCAAAATAAGTTTAAAAAAAAAAGATTTCTTGATATTATCAGCCTGTGGAAACTATCTTAGTGTGCAACATTGTTAGGAAATATCTGATAACTATGCTAGAGGTTAACTCTAGTTCTGTGAATGAAATTGGGTAGATGAAGTCATGCAGAAGCCATTGCCTGGCATGAAATCTCAAGTCATTGTGACAGTTTCAAGTTACTAGCTTTGTTCAATTACTGATCACTCCAGATTATTTTACTAGCTTTTAGGGAAAAAAAAACAAAAAAAAACGTGATAATAAATTTATTTTATAGAAAATAATGAAGTTACAGACTGAGAGATGTTTACTTTAGTTGAAGCCACCTATGGGTTAAATAGGACTTGTAAAAGAAAATCATTGTTATTCTCCAAACAGATAATGAATTCTTACAAGCTATAATGTTCCAGCTTTAACCCTTTGATCTTCAACACTCAAACATGCCCTGTAAATATCAGCTATCAGTTGTTTCTGTTTATGGTGAAAGTTTCATTGTTTACATGATTTCCTGTGTTGTTTGCAATAATGTCATCATATATCATGGCAGAGTATTACATGGGGCGAATTGAACATTGAGAGTCAATATTTATTGGGTGAGTCTGAATAGGTTAAATACTCCACAGAGGGTTAAGCCATTAAAAAAAAAAAAAAATCCCTCATTTATCATCCCCAATGTGTTCTTAATCAATATTTCATATAATACAAAATTAATAGTATTTCTGTATCAGGCTGACACACAATTATTGACTGCATTTTGATCTGAAATTTTTACTACATCGGGTTGCTGAAAAGTTATCAGCTCAACTTACTTCCCAAAATAATTCTTCTGATGTTTGGGCATTGGAATATTGGTTTTGAGAAGTTTGTTGGGCTGAGAACTTTCCAGTACCCTCTTGTATAATGTTGAATCTTAATATTTACAATGAACTAAGTGCATTGACCAAAAAAATTAGTGAAAAAATACTTATGTAAAATAAATCTTTTTCTTTTCTTTTTCTCACTCCATGTCTTTTGCTTTAGTATACTGACTTACCAATGTATATACTGTTTATATTTGATAAGTATAAATCATCTAATACAGGTTCAAGTCCAATAGTCTCATTGCCATTGTTTTTAAAGCAAGCTTGAATTAGTGGTTCATCTAAGCCTATAACTGATACTAACAAATAAACAATCAATTTTTCTGAGACCCACTTTGACTCTTACCGTGAAATAGAAATCGGTAGCAAATATGGATAAAGAATTAAAGAATGTGGGACTATAGGAATTGTACCTGTTGAATGATTGATATTTTCTTTGTATGCAAGAAAATGTTTAAAATAGAACTTTTTTTCCCTCCTCTCTTTTCTTTTTTTTTTCATTCCTCTTTTCTTTTTTATTTCATTCCTCTTTTCTTTTTTATTTTGTAAATTTTAAATTTATTACTTGAAAATTTATTATTTACTGTCAGTGATTTTTCTGTTATTTTATTTATTTTTTTAAAAACTTTTCAGTTAATCATTATTGTTACCCAAACACTAAAAAAAAATATTGGACTTAATATTTTAACGTTATTTAGTATTTGAATATCCATCCTAAATCATGAAACTAAAAAATTTGCAATACTTTTTTTTTTTTTTTTAATCTGTCTATATTTCTGTGATGAGGTATTGTAATTATTTACATTATTTACATTGTTCGGACTGTTGTCCTCATCTTTATTGCCATGTTAACAATGTTTCGGCTTTTGTACACTCCGGCCTTCTTCGGAATCTGTCTATATTTCTGAGATGAGGTATTGTAATTATTTACATTATTCAAACTGCTGTCCTCATCTTTGTTGTCATATTCATGACATTTCGGCCATTGTATGTCTCCTTGACACCTTTTTCAGTTGGTAGTTTGCAAATCCCTTTCGCCTCTTTTCTGTCTTGGTGAAGTGAGTCTATAATTTGAGATCAAACTTCCAATCATCATAAGATGTTTTTTCCTGCTTCCATGTTTAATAATCCATGGTTCAGACTGAGAAGGATTCTCCAGGCAAACAGTAGCTTCTGCCTCAAGGAGAAACGAGCACAGTTTATGTGGCGCTGAGAGGTTAAGTCCATTAAAAACTGTGGGTGAGATGAACATGCTCTTGCTGCCGCCACCAAAAAACCTACCAAGAACAAGACAATAACAAATATAATTGTACACTCTGGCCTTCTTCAGATGATTGTAATTTTGAATTGAACCCTTTATGTTGTCCAACTGGGTAGATTGTTCTAGTTCTATGTGCCATGCCTCTTTCAGTTATTTCCCATTTAGCTCAACTCTCAAAGTTTTTGTCCACCACTGCTGTGGCCAGGTATTGAACTCACAACCCTTTAGGTCAAGTTACTGGATTACTTCAACCCTGCCTTTATCCGTTGGGCTATGTAACAAGAACACCTGGCGGACGAAATGAGTTTGGTTCAAAATTCCAATCACTTGAAGGTCAGAGCGTATAATGGCCTTGAATATGACAACAAATATGGCAATGTAAAATAGTGTATAAAGTTTGTTTTATATATATATATATATATATATATATATATATATATATATATATTGGTGCATGTATTTAAAATGGAGACTTCTAGGAAATAATGGCTTCTTTCTCGTACCAATGTAAAAAAATTGTCTGAATTTCCTATACCTGAGGAAGGCCGGGGGGCACAAAGGTAGAAACGTTATGATAACAACAAAGATAAGGTCAACAGTCTGAATATAAATAGTGTAAATAAAATGTTATGGTTAAGATTATTTGATATTTTTTTTTTTTTTTTTTTACCCCTGAAAGCAAATAAACTAGTATTCCCCCACAACACACACACTTCCAAAATGTCATTCATCAACTCTCCTCACTCATCCAGTACCTGTGCTGGATTATGCTAAAATTAATGCTTATTCTATTCCTGCTTGTTACTCTGTAAATATATTAGTTAAAATGTGCATTATGCCCTGACATTACCTCTGATAACCAATGGGCAATTTCATTTTGATTGTGGGTGGTGTAATGGTGAGAGCAGAGTTCAAAGTCCATTTGCGCTCATTACATTCACTTATGCACAAATACCATTGGGGAAAGGCATGAATGCATATGTATGGGTTAAATAGTAGGTTTTGTATCAGGAAAACATTCTTATACAGTTGTTAATGCAATATTCACTGGCAAAAAATAAAAATTCTGTTTTTCTCACAATCTAAAATATGTTTCAGCTTTAAATAGCATGCTATGGGTTGATAAGCCACAATCAAGCAAAGATGGATAGCAAACAAAAAAAAAAAAAAATCTATATCCTCCCCTCCCCAAATTCCCGAAGTGTCCATCTATGAAACTCTGGTGTTATCTCCGACATCCCTACTCCAATCAGCTAAGTGCCAAACCGTTTATTTGTATTAATAAATTATATCAGTTCGAGGGAAAGAAGACTAGCAAGCTAGTGCTTAACACCTGCTTCAATGAAATAGAAAGAAGAGGAAAGTGTGTGTGTGTGTGTGTAACTATAAAATGGACATAGTTATTTACTAAGCAAAGATATGGCATAAGTATGGATCAACCAGTGAGGAACTAACCACCTGTACGCCCAGGCTTATAGAACCTGATATTCCCAAGCCAACATCCAACCATGTACTGGACAGACTCAATGTTGCTTAACTTTGGTGAACAAGAACCAGCGTTTCAACGTGTTATGGCTGTAATAGCAAACTCTATATTCAGTTGTAATTAATCTGCAAGACAGACTTGTTAACCATTACACCACGTCGAAGCTCCCAACAGTAAAATGGACATATATTTTTTCCTTCTTCAGCATATCTTCTTCAGTATTATTCAAATTTTATTGATAATTCTCCTTCATTAATGAAATCTTTTTTAAATGGTACTCAAGGCACAAAGAAAGAAGTAACAATTGAATGCAAAAATAATAAAAACATCTTTATATCTTGCTAAAGTTGTAAAGCTAAAATATTTAACGATAAAATAGAATTTCCGAAGTAGTCTATAGTCGGGGAAAGCGTAAGAAAAGTGGTCCATCCTTAAATTAAAAATTGTCTTATCAAAACTTAAAACACAGGTACATGGGTACTACGAGTATTAATTTTTATTTTTTAATTTATATTAACAAAGTCAACAGACGTCGAAAAATTGTTCAAATTTCTTATTAATTAAAATCATGTTCTTTTATATCTTGCTAAAGTTGTAAAACTAAAATATTTCTGAAAATAAAATTTCCAAGAGTATTTTATCCAGTCGCTAAATTAAGAATAATACGTTAGAAAATTAAAAACCGTGAAGTTTTCAAAGTTATTGTTAAGTACTATTGTCATATTTGGGCAGGAGCTTCCTTATCCTCGCCTTCCTGTATCCGGGTCCTTGTACGTGACAATTTTTTTTTTCTCTCTCTCTCACACATACACGAGTTGTGACTAGCTTCTTACTGCTCCAGAGAAAGTGCTCGGACGAACTGCATTCCTTGGTTCTACCAGTCCTATCCTTCACTGCTAGGACTCACCATGCCACGCACATTGTAGCAAACCATCCTCTTTTCCTCCATATTCCATTGGTGAAAAGTAAATTCCACTCAAACAGCTTCTCACGAATCACTAGTCTGTGGAAGCAACACGTAAAAGCATGTTTCCCCAGTCATGACAATCTTTAACCTGCTCAAGTCTAGGGTTAACGGTTATCTTCCCCACTCATATCCGATAAATACCCTTTTACGTCGAGGTCCTTGTACTGGATGAACCTCAAAAAAAAAAAAAAATTTGATAAGTTGCAGATGTTTATTACTGTGTAGTTAGTTCGATCCTCACTCAGTGCCATATATTGTTTGTGACTTCTGGATATTTTAAGATCATAAGTTTGATTGAAATTTATCCTGCATTGAACTCTGACCCCTGGAAAATGGCTCCTTTTGATAACAAGTCTTAACTATTTCATACATCATGACTTTCATCATTATATACGGATACATCGGTAAGTTCGTAGCCTGGAATGTGGTTATTCGCTGAATTTGGATCTAATATCTTCACTGTATAATGTTCGATCTATGTGATTAATATTCACCACTGAATTAAGTGTATTGACAAAGGAGATTATGTTGAAAAAAACTTGTGTGATAAATACGTTATTGCTTCTTAGGCTTTAAGTTTATTGATGTACTTGTGTATTACTAGTGACTATAATTTGTCTCGTATTCAAGCTGCACGAAGATGGAAGCGGTTGCCTTTTTTTTTTTTCTTTTTTTTTTTTTCTTCCTCAAAGACAGAAGCGACCGTAAAAAGATCTTGGAACGAGCTTAACTGCGTTCTAATTCCTCGGTCAACGTTCGCACCTCCTGGACTGGAAGTTTGAAAAAAGCAGTCGAAGTGTATTGGCAGTTCAGGCGGTATTTTCAAAGAAATCTTCATGGCAATTAGAGAGAAGTTTGAAACTATTCTTATTTTATTTGGTCGAGCCAGCGCGAATTATTTATGAGTTCATTAAGGTGGCATTCTGTGTCATAACATAGCTAGGTGGTTGCTGGGGGACCAACATGTCTTGTGTTATGGTTACGTACTCAGAGCAGTAAATCACTAGCAAGTTCTTGTTTTGCTTGGCAGCACTATCCTGCAAAGCGTATTCTGCGTTCGCGTAAGATTCTAGAAATATCAGGGATGGCTCCATAGAGTTGTGATTTAATTGGATGTTGTCTCCAAGAGATGTTAAATATAGCTCCCAGTATCCGAGTGGAGGTTTGATCAAGCTTATATTCGAGAGTTTTTAATTAATGTCCAAGCAGTGGCACCATACATGAAAATTGACTCTACAGTGGCTCAAAAGAATTGCCGTTTGAGGTTGTCTAGTAGATCAGATTTTGAGTTTACATGCATTTTTTTCAAAGCAGCCCAGGCTTTATATGAATTTTCACATACTTTTCAATGGAATTTATTTCGCTTCCTAGGCATTTGAAAGATTCGACAGATTATATTGATTCACCGGAGACAGTTACTGTATTGAGCCTTGCTGGTTGAAACTCATGAATTTATATGCAAATCATATATCCCTGAGCTATGATTAACAAGCTCGTCTTATCGTAGTGGTGATTTTCCAAGCTCGGATGTGGCACAAGGCCGAAAGTATGGGGCACTCAATGAGGATCGAACTCACTACTCAGTCGTAATTGTCTTAGCGAGACAAGCTTGCTAACTATTACACCGCCTCGAGGTGTATAGTGATATTTCAAGCGTACCTCAGATGTGGCACAAGGCCGAAAGTATGGGACACCCAGTGAGGATCGAACTCACTACTCGGTCGTAATTGTTCTAGCGAGACAAGCTTGCTAACCATCACCTCGAGATGCCCCTTTATTGATTTTCTAAGCGTAGCTTAGATACCTGCCCTGTACCTACCTGTAACGGCATTCACCCGAGGTGGGTTGAGCCGGTTCCAATATTGGAGTTTCCTGGGAATTTGGAATTCACAAGCGGTCCCCAACCCGCATCTATAGCACATGAGATTTGGTTATAGTGGTGAAGGTTTCGTGCAGAACTATCCACACTTTTTGAAGGGCCTGATTACAGAGACCTGGTGCACTACGTGCCACAAGGTCCCCAAACGACCCTCTGCAGGTTTTGAATTCAGAGTTTTCCTTCTCCTAGACCAGTTGCCATCCAAGACTATAGAACCCAGTCTATCCTGCTATTTACCCATAGCTGGAGGGAGAAGAGGATTCCCACCTTTCCCAAGGGTATTATCACGTAAGTGAATGTAATGGATTCGACTGGAATTCGAACTCGGCTCTCAGTCCAAGCCGTTATCCATTACTCCACCATGCCTCCGCATGGCTTAGATGTGGCACAAGGCCGAAATTATAGGACACCCAGTGAGGATCGAACTCACTTCTCAGTCATAATTGTTTTAGCGAGACAACCTAGCTAACCATTACACCACGCCGAGGTGCCCTTGTCTTATCGTAGTGAATTCAATCGTCACTGGATATGCCGTTTGCCTTGGGACAAATTCGGATAAATCTCTCTCTATTCCATCAGAACCTTGAATTTTTTTTTGAACCTGTTAAATATGGTCTTCA